CACCCCCTTTCCGCTTGTACCACCATTTACCAACCACCCTGTATATGAATTTATCATGGTCACAAAATTCAGGAAAATGTGGCGCACCGTTGTCAAACGAAGAAACCGAAGTTTGTTGGACAAAGTTCAGAATTTTCACTTCGTTTGACCTGAACAGTCAAAGTAAATCTAACTAAAAAACAGTAAAAGTAAATCTAACTGTTTTTGGGCAACACGGAAATTAGTTTCCAACTACTGTGACAGCAACGACGGTTCTCCCTCGACAATTTTCAACGACGCAATGCGAAAAGCAATATCGTGTTACTGTTTACCGAGAAAATCTCGCGACTTACAACAGTTTGCATAGAAAAACAGATGATCGCGTGTTCAGAAATGCTCGAAACGATAAAAATGAAAAACCAAACAATACAATTTTCAACGATCTTACCAGTTACCATGAACATAGTTGATTGTTTCCCGATTACAATGATCGTAAGTTAATGCGTGTGTACATAAGATGGCGCTGGTATCGGTAGAAATCACAGTATACAACACGACATCAAACTATCGTTCTTTTCAATTATATCACGTAAATAGCTGTTCTTAACCCGAGTACAGTGCGAAAAAATCCATTTAACACAGACTTAATAAGAGCATCGCAATATCGTCCTAAATGTTCAACGACCGTGAAGAAACAGATGTTATATATAGCCAGGGAAAATTAGAAAAATCTTTGACGTAGAAACTGAAATAACAATTCTTAGGCGGTGGATTACGTTTCGAAAAATTCGATGAATTATGGATGATGAAAAATGATTAAAGTTAAGTAATTTAACAGGCAACGCTATTCCGAGATGTCTATATATACACAGTGTACATGTTAAATATTCTTCCCACGTAATACCTTACATTTTAACTTGCAACAAGACTCCTGTGTTCTAAATATAGCTATCGCTAGAGGATCAAGAAAAAAGAAAGATAAGAACTTATTAATATTAATTAGACAAACAGGCACGCGGAACGGGCAAACAAACAAACAGGAAGCCCGAGGAACAACGAATCGTTGGCTGCGTTCTCTGATTTTCAAAACAGATATCTATGTTCTGTGTGTTTGTATGTATTCCGTTTTTTCCTCGCTCGTTTACCGCTAGATCTATCGGTTTTTCATCTGACGAGCACGAGCCGTGTACAACAGCCGTAAACAGACGCTTGAAAGAAGAGAACCGGCCATTTAAATTCGACACGAGGATCCCGGCCGATGGCTACCGGACGCTGATAAACAGATAACGTGCACTCGTCTAATTAAAGAAAACACGTGCATTTAATTTAAACAAATGTTCAGTGCGCACGGTGGTTGAATTTGACAAGATTTCATGGCACAGAATTAAGATATTGTATTACACTTTTTTAAGATGACAAAAATAAATAAAAAAGTTTCTTGAAATCGGGTCAAACGACGTGCTGTTTTTCAGAAGTTGGAACAATTGCTTTACTGGATAAAATAATTTTCAGAAAATTCCGATTGATCGAAATGGCGTAGAGAAAAGCAAGGGACAATTTTCTTTACAACTTTTCAAACCTGGAAGGGAAATTTAAACAACGCGTTTTCAAGAGTTGCGACTGATGATGTAAAAATGAGTCAGAAAGAGAGAAAACAATTTTTTCGTAGGACGAGAAAATTCAATTTCCGGGAAAATTAAACATGTGACGAATATACTTGAAACTTGGCTAATCGCGGATCGAACAGGAGCAATTAATCGACAGGATGTAAAACCGCGCGTGAGAATAAGTCGAAAATTCAGGATAAAATTCTTTTATAAAATTCTTTGTTCTCGAGAAAAATAAATTTTTAAATGTATAGTCCATCGAACTTTATCTTCTCGAAAATGAGGCCTTAAACGAATAAATGTTATTCTCTGGCTTCTTTTCGTGCCTAGAACAATCTCCTGTTGATAAAAGAGTAGTTTGCGTTACTTAGTCGAGTTCAAAAACAAATTCCATTTGTAATCCGCGAATCGCGACATAATTGTGGAAAACGTGTTGCTTAAATTGTAAAATAAAAAACGATCTTCGCGATTCCGATCGATCGCAATTTTCTCAGAATGTTTTCTACGCGTCATCCAGCAAACTGATCCTCGTAGCTTCCAGGAAGCTGGTCATGTGATCCTGTGTGTGAAGTTAGTCGTTTAGTCCGGTTTGAAAAGAATCGTTCTATTTTAAAAAGTGTCCACGACTGTGATTAACCTTTCTGAAATAAATGTACACGTTATTTTAGATTTACACAAGCAGAGAAAATATTTCCACGAGTATCGGTTTGTTTGATTTTCTCGTTTGCTCGGTCCAACTTACACGACGTCAGACGGTAGGTTGTGAGGTTTCAAGCTGCAAGGTAGGTTATTTAAAGTCGTGAAAACTGTGACGTGAATTAAACTCAGCCGGCTCTTGCAATTCACCGTTACTCACGACTTTCGAGCTTCCTCAACTATAAAGTGTTTTATAGCGTGTCAACGTCACGCTGATGTTTTCCAAATTAACACTTGCTTCTGCAAACCGATTCTTTCCTATGAATAAATCAATCAACTCGAGCAGCGTGTCTATTTGTTATTGCTATTCCAAATACCCTGCTACAGAGTATTTTCAGTGTATCGATATCAATCTATTAAAAGTCAGGCAAGAAAATAATACGTACGAATTATCGTAAATAGAAAGTCATTAAAAAAGCACGCATACCAAAGGTCGGTCTAACGTAACGCGATAATATTAGGTTGACAAAATCCGCAATCACTTTGTTGCCAAGCCAATAATAGTTCGATCGTGTGACACAGATTCGTTGATTGCATGAGAAACTGTTGAAAATGACAACGTGATTTTGCGCTCGCCATCTATATTCTGATGCGCTAGTTACGATAAATAGTAACTAGAAGATAGTTTTAGATATAATCGATAGATTTAATCGATAGGTTTAAGATATTCTTTTCTTTTTATCCCTAGTCCATGTAAGAACGTGCAATAAAGTTTATTCAGCTCACAACGATGTGATAGATTTATCCGAAGAATAAATTAATAACACGATATTGTGATCCTACCTCTAAATACAGAAATAACAATAGGTTATGAGCCCAGGTACAATAAATAGTTATTATTTTATTGAAAATATTATTAATAGTAATAATATTGAGGAGCGCAGGAGATAACCTAAAAAACAAAAAAAAGCGCTATCGATGATTCAGTGTTGAATATCATAAAGGCGTTTTATCGAATATATAATAAACGCTTACGTGATAATGCAGTTATCAAAAGAATATAGAAATGTCGAGCGGGGCGAGTTTAAATACTGAAAAGCTAAATAAAGAAATAACGACAGAAACGTTTCTTGTTTTCTGCTTTTTTAAACTTGTGAAATTGAAACGAGTGGAGAACGTGGCAGAAAATTTGTACCAATTGCAATCTCGGTTTCGAGAAAATCAAATTTGAAAAGCTGTCAGGTACAAGTGTAGTTTTATAACTTTGACGAAGTACGTTAAAAGTAAACACACACAGAAAGAACGTGGAGTTACTTGAAATTTAGGAATTCTAATTTCATGCTTTTCTCGGAGGATACGAATAAGAGAAATTAAAGAGAAAATATTTGATCGTGGTCGTGCGGTATCAAAGGTGTAATTAAGAAAACGTTCGTCTTGATATTTAATTAATCGTATTAATTACGTAACTGTCATGTCGCTAAAAACACTTTCAAGTGGAATGACGATAATTAACGAACGATTTTTAGATTTTATTTTCGGTATATAATTACAAGGTGTTTAAAGAAGAGGCCAGCTCCTGCTCGAGCAATTAAATTGGGAAAAGTTTCGCGTAATTAGAATCTGTCGTGTGAATGCAACAAAGTAATGAATCCTCGGTCTTAATTGAACGTAATTAATACCCTGAGAATTCCAGCCTTCTTTCTTATCGTTTCAGCACATTCGCGAAATATGAAATCAATAAAACTTCTCAAATATTCAAATTAATCGTAGGTTATTCTCTCGAAACATCTACTTTGTAAGGAGAATAAACGACGCTATTTTGTTTAACAGGTGTATTTTTAATTTCGAAATCGTTTATATTCCAGGAATCGATTTCTCTGGCTGAATTTATCGCGTCGCGTTCGAAGCAAACGAGAGAATTTTATCTATCAATTCTTCGTTAATTTAAGATCAATAAAAGACGCGAGAAAAATAAACGAACATAAAGAGTTAGAGGAAAAAATAAACGTAAGAATTTCGTTATACCGTTAGACATTTTCATTTTCAATTACGGTTCGTCCGTTTCCATAAAAAGTTCGCTTCTTCAAACATTTCTACGAACAGTAAAATAAATCAGAGATCAAGCAATGGAAGATTCCATTCCACCAGCAAAGTCCTATTATTGCCAGTTTCCACGTAGCTTAAAGAGTAGCCGTCCGAAAATAAAACAGGCAACGTAAAGAAGCCAATAATGAAATTTGATTACCGTTTTAAAGCACGTCGGCAAATCCTCGCGAGAATATAAAGCACCTAATAAGTGAGCATCCTCTGGCATATAGCAGATTTCGACCAAAATCCCAGTGATCCTCGAAACGAAACAGCGCCCTCTTTTAGCGCTCGTTCGTACACAAGCGTTTGGGTCTCGTGAAAATGTTTGCAAACTCCAGTTGATGTGAAAAAATCGTCGAAAAGTTGTCAAGATTCTTAGAGATTCGAGCAATGGAAAAATTATTGATCGTCACGTGTAAGAAAATTAGTCTTTATAGAAACTATTTGTCTGCATTTACACAAACAAGTGTTTCACTTGAACAATCCATTTGCGTATACCGCGTTCAATTGATAAATCGTGCGTTTTTTAATAGATGTCTCTGTGTCGTTTCGCTCATAATTCTTACTTGGTTAGTCTCTTGTTCTTTATAACTTTATTTAGTACATTTGTCGTACTCGCGAGTAGGTAAATTTCAAGCGCTCTATTTGCGTATCTTCGTTACTGAAACTATTGTTAAAAGCGAAAATGTCTATCGATAAGACGCGTGTTTGTCACGTGCCGCTGCTTTAAAAGTGTCGTAGGGGAATTACAGGTACGGGAACAGTGGGAAACATTCGTAAAGCGTATGGGGAAGACTCGTATGTGTCACAAAAATGGTTGAGGAAATTCCGATCGACGGATTTTGGCTGGGGCGAATCATCGTGTTCCCGGCGACCGGAAGTAACACAGTATAATCGCCGGAAATCGTGGAATTATTTTCGTAGCAGTTTTCATCGTCCTGGAATGACTGGAAAATTGAACCTTTTGAAAATTGAAAGATTAAAACGCCCGAAGTTTTCCTACAACCTGTTGCTTTTTTTCTAATTTAAAGCGTAGCTATTTCCGAATAATTCGCTAATTTAGCGTTGCAACAGGCTTCTTGCATTCCACGCCAAATTCGAAATGAACCTTCCGACATTGGCGCTGAAACGAATTTCTTCCATTTCGATGTCGAGATGACACTCTTCGTCAGTTACGAGCGCTTAGCGTGCAGCTTCCGTTTGATGTGTGTAATTTTTCAACTTGACAATGCGGTCGTGTGGTACTCGTATTCCCTGCGACGAGAATAGTCGCTGAATCGAAATATCAGCGATGGAATGCCGATCGAAATGTCCTTGTATCGTAAAAAGTACTATACTTTGGTTCTGTATTTTGTAACTTTCAATGAACATTGTATTTTCGCATATTGACAGCTCTGTGTGCATGTTTACGCGTAAAAGTCCAAACAGTATCTCTTCATAGCAACCTATGACAGTTTAATGGATAAAATTGTAATTTATCGTATACTTTTGTGACAATTACAAGAATCATAGAATTAGAATTAGTATGGAATCTTGCAATATTTTCAATGGTTTCATCATTTTGTCTATGCAGTTTCAAAAATTAGCCGCCGGATGGCGCTGCTAATGAACGGCCACGTTTTCGTATTTACAAGAACACTTGCTTCTTTTTGCTTCCTCGGCGTTGAAAGTCTCATCAACGATTCATCAACGGCTGAATATTCTCAATTTCCTAGCTAACCTACGCTCTCTGAAGAATAAGTTGCAACATCTGGGTTGCTTGAACACCTGGTGCAATTCCATCGGAAGCTTCACAACGTTGTCGTACGTATTCTCTGCCTTTAAAATTCCCTTCATCACTCACCGAGTCAATTTCATCGCTAATCACCCTTTTCCTGAATCTGCGTTTCTCAGCAAGAATCGCGACCGCAAAGTGTCACGAAGCAAGCCATCATCTTGTCTTACCTAACGATCGTCCCTGAACGAGCCAAGTGGCAATATCGACGGTCTATACAAACTCCATCCATCCATCCAGCGATCTCCAAAAATATTGCCGCCGCGAGTGCTGCGAGGCCCATCACGGTGAAGGAGTCGTGCTCTCGAGCAGAGTCGGATCGCGGTCCAAGGTGCCAGGCGTATTCCTGCAAAGGCATTCGATCGTTAGTTAAAGGGCAATCCGTTAAAGGTGCAGAGAGGCGCAGGGGAAGGTTCCCCCGACGCCTGGTACGCACACAATACCCCGGCCGCAGAACAGATAGAGAACGAGAAGAGAAGAGAAGAGAAGAGAACGAAACGCGTCCGGAGGGTCCCGTGCCGGCAGATGAATCCTAAGCAATTTCTCGCTGGTCGGGCCTCTTTGATGCTTTGAACTCTCACCGCGCTAACCGATCCTCCTGGTAATCACGCGGCCCTCGCCACGCCCCGAAAAACACCTTCGATCCTCCAGTCTCTCGCCTCTTGCTCTCTTCTCAGCCTCCTTTGATCCTTTTCTCCGCTCGAAAACACGCTCTTCCTTTTTTTTTTATCCCTTGGCCTCGTCCTATCCTTCTTCGCTCTAAGCTGTAGCATTTACTCTGTTTCTATCTGTTCGCTCTACTCTTCAGTCTCTTCGAAGGTTCTTATATATCTTTTCTCTTTTTTCTTCTCTTCTTGCTCGCTTTTTGTCTTTTTCATTTGCTTTCGTTCGTTCGAGCTTGGATCACATAAGAGGAGAACACTGTTTTCGATGGTTCATCGACGTGTTTCTCGCTACGTCTAGCAGTTCGTTGCTGCGTTTCAGCGACTTCTCCACATCCAAAGGCTTCTCAGGCCTCTCAGTTTACACCAAAGTAGCGATAGCGTTATACCGTAAACAGTTATCGAATTTCGCGAATCTGTTCGCAAACTCGTCTACAACGATTCCAAAATCGTCTAAACTCGGTCTGGTCCCCGAGCGCGCGATCGCAGCGCCCTTAAGGCTGGTTCACACACGGCCAGTAGTTTAAGTAAGTTGAAGCAGCGAGTAAAGCCGAATTGACGCTATTCGCGTTGTAGGATCACCGTGGACGAAGACGAAAACGTTACTTTTCCGCGAATCAACAGCGTAAATTCAGCTCCGCTCGTCCGCTTTGCTCGATTAAACCTGTGGCCGTGTATGAACCAGCCTTTACAGCACTCGGACGTTCGATTTCCGGTTAGACGTGCGATCGTCGAGCAACGAAACCACGCTCGTCCGCGATTGAATATTCGCAAAGCGGAGGGAAAAAGGGCGCCCGCAGAAGTCGGTGAAAACGCACCTTGACGAGGGCGCGCGACTGCCGACAGTGGCGACTAATGTCTGCACGCGCGAGCGCACGAGCGAACGTGTTTTCTTGGCACCTGTTTCACTCCTCGTTTCGAGGGTTTTTCTGCCTACTGCCACGCTCTGCGTTTCCTCCTTCGCTCGTTTCTTTGGCGAGGGTTTAGGAAGCTGCAGCGCTCCATGATAATACGCCGGAGCTTCCGTTTCTTTTTGTCCGCCTGACTCGTACAGATCGCGTCCTACGTATTTCTATTGGGTTGGCAACTAAGTGATTGCAGAATTTGTCATTACCACCTAATGGTAAAATCGCCAATCACTTAGTTGCCATCCGAATACATCGTGATCTTGTCATTCGGCGAAGTAGTAGATATTTCTTCACATTAAACAGCTAACTTGCGTAACACATTAAACAGGTAATAGATACTGTGTATCTACTGCAACAACGAACATGGAGTACAAAACTGTGTAGCAGTATGAATCCATCTATCCTCGTAGCGACATGTTGAAACTTACGGTTGTCGTTGAGAAGTATACGGCCAATTAATTGTTTCTCACGGAATACAAATCGGTTAGAAAATTGCAAGTAGGAAGGATCGGCATGAGAATCCTATCGCGGTATATCGCGAGATAAAATTTGTTGTTGAAGGGCAGCGAAAAGATGAGCATCTAAGAAGCGCCAACCTGTCGATCGATAAACTATCTTACATTTTATTATCGTTTTATGTCACGACAGGAAGGGAACGCGTTACAACACTCCGTGTTTATTATTATAGCGTCGTTTTATCTTACGAATATTTTGGAATATCGTAGAATTGGAAAGGCAGCGACGTGTATCTTAAAAATGGAAAATATGCACGAAAGATGAAAATAAATGGGAAATTGGGATACGTGGGATTGCGGACGTGGCAAATATTGAAAGTAATAAAATTTCAGGTTGATACGATCCCATTACCGCTCATGACGCCATAATCACAACCGTGGGATCTGATTTCAAGCTTTTGATCGGCAATTCCGGAGATTGTATCTCTAACGACCTCGATCGGCTCTTTAATTTTTCCTCCTTCCTCTTCCTTATCCTTCTGTGCGCAGCATCAAACTACATAATCAGTATAAATTATGCATCTTCTTGTTAAAAAAAGCCACGATAAATTTTCGCTTATATAAATTTGTTCGTTCGTGTTGCTCTTGCTTTTGCTTCTATAATTATGTCGCTATTAAATAGCTCGCCATAAAACCATTGATATTTTTCCCTCTGTCGTTTCTTCAGTTAAAAGCAACAAACGATCCCCTCTTTCGAGTAGTTATTTTTTATTTGTATTAGAAATCAAATTTACCCGAGCCTGCCTCCCATATATAATCATTCACAAAGAAAACATACAAAAGGAAGGACGGATGAAAACGTAAGGTTAATAAGTTTACAGTAGAAGCCAATAATACAGCAGGGGAGAAAAAAGCGGAATCTCAGATGTTAACCGAACAACTATAATCATTAATCAAATCTCCCTCGCCCTTTTCTCGCTGCCCCGATCCTCCCTCAGCGATAAGTAATTCATTAGGCATTGACTAACTCCATCTGGCCGTCTATTAAGAAGGCCAGCGAGAGGGAAGAACCGTGACCAATTGAGTAAATAATACACGTGAAATTTGAGAAAGTCCGCTGTCCTTCGCTGTGAAACTTGCTGAGAGCGAAACGCAGGATAATAGAAATAACGATCCATCCAAGAGCTGATTAATTTCAATCTTCCGCTGCACGTCTCTCCGTACAATCTGCCACTCTATCGGTTTTCTTCGTCCAAATTTTGCTTCTTCTTCTTCTTCTTCTTCTTCTTCTTCTCTGGCAACGGTATACGTAAACGTTATTAAGACGATTAAAAAATCAACGAGACACGGATGTTCATGTACTTGCGAATTTTGATTGGACAGTTTAATCGTATGCATGAATGTATAGAAATTGTGAAAAATATTTCTACGATATGTCAACGTAATACTTACGGTGTTTAGGAAGTGAAAGGAGTCTGTGTTTAAGCGCCTTTTCTTCTTTGTGTCATCTGGCGTGTATGATATCTGGAATCTACGCGTATCCTTGGATTAACCGGTCATTCATTCATCCAGTTGAGGTCGCATGAAGACCGGTTGAAAGAAACTCCGCCGTAATTGCTACGAAAATTGAAATTCCTCCGCGAAATACCAGAAAAGAAAAAAGGAACAGAAGAGCAGCGGGACATCATGAGTTACATCAAGACGCTCGTACCAAAATCTAACGACCACCGACAAACCAGGACGAACGAGCGGCCAAGGCAGCAGCGCGAGAAAGCGACGAAGACCCCAGAATAGGATCAAGGACACGAGCAAAATAGCCTGCGAAGAAGAAGACGAAAATCAGCGAAGAACAAGAAGAAGAGGAAAATAGCGGAGGAAGAAACAGGCGAAGACGAAGAGGAGGAAGATGCAAGGAAAGAAGCAGCACAAAGGGAAGTAAAGGAGAGGCACGAGAGCAAGCAAGATGGTAAAAGGAGGAGAAGGATGCTCCTAATTCGTAGTTCGGGGCGGGGTTTTTTTCGGCGATAGAGAGGAGGAGAGCGAGGCTGAGCATTGGTGAAACAGAGACAGAGCCAGGCACAAAGCGAGCTGAGGTATAAATTGGTTTGTTTGCCGCGGAGATAAAAGGGGCCGCTAAATGTTATCTTTAAGGTGTCGGATCAACGCAAATGTGGCTGAGTTACTCGTAATTATAGTATACACGGGCCGAGACCCTCGCCTCTACCTGCCGCGCCATCGGCCGCCGCTCTCCTCTCTTCTTCTCCTTTCTCTTTCTCTCTCTGTTGCCTCGTTTCAACCCATTGGCGTAACTATCGATCGCGATCCGATCTACGGGCCGAGATACCGACCGACAGAGGCGATACTTGTTTGGTTAGACCGGAATATCCACGGGTGGGGCAACGAGCAGCGCGAGGGACCATCCTCCTCTCTATCTTCGGACAACCACTTGGCTTGGGTCAGAAGCGATATGCTGTTGCTCGCCTTGATATACACGCTCTATGAAGAATTCTCTAAGACAGTCAGTTTATTGGTTTCTGCAAAAGGGTGTTTTGTTTAGACACTTAGAGATGGAGCTGACGGAATGCTGCAGTTAGAGAGAACATGAGCAAGGTAATGAATTATACTCACACGGTTCTTGCGACTTATTGCCATTTAATTCTCTTGATGCGCACAGTCCCAACTTCTTCGCTAGACAAACGTTGCTCTCGTTATCGAAACGAGGGCGAGGATGCCATGTACGTAGATATATGTACGTAGGTGAGAAGACAGGTTAGAATACTTGAAATTTGAAGAGCCGATAACTCGCTGCAACAGAGAGAGTGATTTGAATAGCGCGTTGCTTATGATATGAACGTAGCGTAGCTTGAAAATATGCGGACGATTTCTTTTCAAGAAAAAAAAAAGAGGTCTTTCGTGGATCTTCTTTGTTTACATTTTCTAATATCTGCTAAAAAGAAATAAAAGGGTGGGTTACCAACGGCGCACGGAATTCCTAAGGGGGCGGTCACCCATCTTAGTAACTATTCGTGCCGCGCGCTGCTTAACTCTGGCGATCGGATGAAAACCAGCATTTTCAGCGCGCTTTCGTCGTTGGCGCAGGTTAAGTGTTTTTCTAGAAAAACGAAGAACACAGTTTGATAAAACTTAAGGTGAATGTTAAGTTAAATGAAAATAATTTTAATCAATTTTATTGGCTTTTCCATTGTCAGAAAATACAGTTTTAAATGTCTACATATACGTCTACATATGTTTCATGAAATATGGATAGAACATAATTAACTATGAGAAGATATATATTATTAACGATTTGTTGCAGAATTATTTCGTTTCTCTCAATGACAACATAAAGGATAGAAAGATACGAAAGCATAGTACTTGTAAAGATCTGATATAGCACTTCCCATTTCCATAAATACAGGCCTTGTAGGACAAAGATAAGGAAAAAAAGTAGAAATGTTCGGGAGACCATCTATCTTCAATGGGAAAAAGTTGGTAGGTAAAAAAACACAGTAAGGAAGTATACATAAAAAGGAAAGTAGAATACATATATGTAATTATATGTATCCCACGTAGATAATTATTTGCTTTGAGCTTCTATGTTCTATCGACGCTAACGTTTTATGTCTACTAATAATAAAGGGAAACACCGTGGAACATCGAAAATTACCAGTTAACAAGAGCAATAAGGAAATTAATTGTACGACGTAACAAGCATGAATATCTTTTTAAATCAATACTTTGATTCTGCCATGTATAAGATATAAAAGCAAAGATATTAATTAAATTACCTGTAACTTAAGTCGATAAATAGAATCGAATACCATTCGTATTAAAAGCATAATATCCAAAGGTAAAAGTATTAATGATCATTGATTTCTTACTTCGAAATAAAATATAATTTACTGTTATAAGGAAAATAAAAGTTTTCTGTTATCCAGATACATTTCATACGGATTTCGTATGAAATCTATGAATTTTGTGCAAATTTTATATCTGAAATCACGTCGTAAAAATGACAAAAAAGGGGGGGGGGAATTCAAATAATCTCCTTTCTTTCCTCCTGTGTTTTACAATCTCCTTCTCCCTAGTTCCTTCGTCGTGATACGAATAAACAACTTTATGGATCTTGGATAATTAGATAAGATTGCCGTAATTATATGCAATTTATATAACACAATGTAGAGTCTGTTTCATGTAAAATACGTAATAAATTAGAGACTACTTCTGCTGAGTCAATTTACATAATACATTTCTAATTAAACACGATCCTCGAGGTTTATTAATAAACTCAAAATCAATTACTGAAATCGTGAATTCGTTATATCGGTTGAAACGTGCGACTGTTTAATTAATTCAGAATTAATTGGACATCACATTGTTCGTGATGGATGATTATAGTAGAGGATTTAAACAGAACTTCGTATCTTACTGAATATAAGAATTACATCGCAAGCATAGATCCTTCCTTTTTACTGAGAAGCGAAGAGATATCCATATTATGAAAAGATACTGAAACAAAGAATAGGACAATTATTTTCCACTAGATAAAATAAACGAAAATACCGGAAATCAGAATAATTATAATATTCGTATAACATTTAAAACAATGTACATATTTGGCAAAAAAAAATTCAATTTCAAGGTAAAGATGTATCGTTTTAGTAGATTTATCCTAAACTTCTGGTTTTTGAAGAGATTACGCCAATGGCGGTGCTTTTTATCTCAGTTTCCAACAAGATGGGACTCCCCATTGGTGCGGCTTGAACAGCCGCGCGTACAGTGGGGCCAACATTATAGTACAAAATAATAATTCATAAATTATACGCGCCGCGACCGTTTAGAGGCTTAGGTATACAGCTCACTGCACATGCAGGTGATTCTGCTGCAGGTATATCAATAAGCTTTGCTAGGTATAACGGGTGACTTAAAAACACTCACCTCTTATGTCTTATGTCTTACGGTACGGACATATGGGAAAACATTTTAAAGTCATAGTTTAGAATTGGTTTTAGAATTAATTCTTGCATAGTTATTGTAATTGTCATAATCGTTAACTTTTTTATTATACCAAGCGTAGACTGCTGTAAAAATGAGATATTATTTTTACTTCAATTCTGAAACCCTGTTAATTTTTCAATTTTTCATATAGCAAAAAGGCGTATGTGTTTATATCTAAAAAGAATCGTAAATTAAACTATAAATTAACGAGTAAAATATAATTGTTAGAGCAGTTATCGTTGGCAAAATTTAATTCATTTAACTTTTAATTCTAACTTTTTTATTCAATTGATAACAGGGAAAATTCTTCCCCCTTATATCCCCCTTATGGAAAAGACTTTTATGTATACATTGTGAAAATATGTATATATTTTATTCTAATTACTTACTTAATTAATTAGTTACATTCATTTAATGTAAAATGCGCTATTTTGCGCATGGTAGCGTTATCTATCGGTTGAAAATTGTACTTCGTGTTAGTTCCACTGATTCGCCTGTAGAGTAAATAGACTCGTAGTCAGCAGATCTGAAATCAAAAACAAACGAGCTGAACAATAGTTAAAACATGGAAAATCAGTCAGAAGTAGAAGAAATAACGAATAGCGATTGTAACGTTAAGTTTCACAATTTTGTGGCAAAAGTCGATGACTTGTCAATCTCATGTCACGTAATTAAAATGGAAAATTCCCTCTATCTGTGGGTAGGTGATTATAATGAGAATACCATGAATGATTTGTCATTCGCAATCAAATCACCATACGAAAAGGAACCACTTACAACGAAGATTATGGGATCAATTGCCAATGAATTTTCAACTAGTCTTGCCAAGAGACTTTCAAAGAAACTTTCAATAGCTGTTTATGTCAGCTTTAATGTCCAGGTTGATAACCTATCTCTACATGCAATTGAGAGGAAGTTACAAGATGAATTTAACTCACATCCTGAGATTTTCTGATTTATATTAATAAGTTGTACAGAGACATTCTAAAAGTACAATTTTTATACTGTCCAGAACATGTGTTTACATTTAAGCCTTGTATATTTCGTATTAAACTTGATTTATATATAAAATAGGTATTCTTATTTATTTTAAGTATCTTAAATTTTAAATTGTGTAATAAGTACTAAGTGTGGTCTTAAAACTTCACAGAAACAAATATTTATTCTTGCAAATAAAATGATTTTACATTTTATCATATGATAAAAGAACTAATTTGAATTTCATCGCCTAAATTACCAATTTATATATATATAAACAATTTCATTGCAAGTGGTTAAAAGATTACATATTATTACCTTTTATCATTGTTCCATATAATTGTTTCAAATAGTTATGCATAATTCTTGTGATATAGTCTGAAGATGATCTATAAGTTGAAAATATTAATTGTATTGTAACAATGTTACATATATATGATGACAACATTCATACTATAATATTATAACAAAACATATCAATTTTATTAGAAAAACTAAATTAATTAAAATTGTCACTTCTCATATATCAAATACATAATAGTAATGGCACTTATTTTAAACACTATGACAAAATAATATTCAAAATCATCTATAACATACTATTATATATATAAAAATACTATTTTTATTTCTATTAAAGAAGCAACTTAATAGACATCTTTCCTTCCTTTACAATAAAGACATATGAAAGAACATTTATATACATTTAAAAAATGTATATTATTTGAATTTTGGAAATAAAGTTAATACTTAACTTTTCATTGATAATTTATAAATCATGAAATTCTTAATATCTGCTTATATGAAATTATTTTTACTTGTAGCAAATTACATTAATAATACGTAATTTACGAATGAAATTGTTGCAATTATTTTTTAGCTTCGAATTTAAACTACATACTTGATCTTACATTTCATAATGATGGCAAACTTATGATAGATAGGTTTTTAGTTTTAAGAAACACCAAGTAATCTAGGGATTTTTTTTGTTATGGATCGAGCAATTGTACGCCTTAAAAAGAAACATCCGAACATTGGCCACTGATCGTAAACACGTGGTTACTTACGCATTGATTTCAATATTTATCCGGCATTGCACGTGTAACTTGATTTTTAGTTTTTCAAATGTTTTCACAAAGTTTGTCGGTATTTATTAAACGAAACGAAAAGTATATGCAGAAACTCTCATTTTTTAGAATTGACAAAGTAAGTAAGAAACATCTTTTTGAAATATTTTAAATATCCTGTTTTCGTTTGTTAATATCATAATTATCAATATCTCTGTTCTTATTTTTCTATGCTATTACTATTTCTTATTGTATAAATTTCACATTGTTTTGTAGGTTACTGTTAGTAATTATATGTTTTAGTAATATTTTCATCTAATTTTTAATATATAATAAATGGATGAAAATAATATACCTTCAAACTGTGTTTATTTGTAATACATACAATGTTCATTTTATTCATTCATTTAATTTAATACGCGAAATAAACATGACAAACTTATAGAAAATGCAGAACTTTTTCTAATGTTTTAATTACTGTTTATTTTTAAATTGAGTTTTGATTAAAATGTACCATGTGTCTTACTTTTTCATTATTTAATAATGTTATATTCTCCAAAATATATTTCATTAATCTTATTTCATAACATTGTGTAATTTTACTGTAGGAACCAAGCGAGGATGAGCATAAACAAATTTTAGACATTTTGTGTGAATTCTTAATGAATCCAGAAACCACGGAGGATGTTGCAGAATGTTTCCCACAATTATTGCCAGCATTAATTATGAAAAGCATTTCAATGGATAAAATTTCCTTTGATGACGAAGATTTGATTCATAAATTAAATTCAGTTATTTTAGCCAAATTACTTTCCAAGAATCGGGATATATTAGTGTATGTATTTTTAATGTTACATAGAATACTTTATATTTTATATTATTTTGTATGTATATGTATATTTTTTTTGCACTAATATGTGATTATTAACAGCGAAAATATCATCATGAAATTATGTTCTCTTACTTATAGGCAATATATTGTAGGTTGAATAGTATTTTATTCAACATTATAATTCTTTCATGTTCCATAACATTTTAGGTTGAATTTTTCAGGTTGGAGAATATCCTGCAAGGATACAAACAATATTTTTCTGATATTCTGTGTATTATACTCTTTTTATTACTTAAATTTAGAATTATCAATTGATGAAATGTGTAATAAATATAAAATATATTTGGAAAAAATTAAAGGTCTTTGTAACACAGTATTCTATATTGTTTTCTTAGTTGTATTATTAATTTAGTACAGACATATACAAGTAATCTTTTTCTTACTTTATAAATATGTAAACATAGTTGTTTATGTTTAGTAGTATGAAAATTTGTATACTTCATAGCATAATTATATTAAACTGTAACATTGAAAAGTATGTTTGGAAAAGTCTTGTTTATTTTATAGCAGTATTCAGTAGTATAAAATATGTTTTCTACAAATCAGATATATAATTACAGAAACATAAAAAATTATTAATTATTTAAAAAATAATTATTGCCAACAGTTCTCTATTGAAAATAATTATAAGATATATTTAAATGATATAAAATTTGAAATTTATTTTTAAATGAATATTGTTTTATTACAGATTTGTTCTACATTATTTTGATGTAAATCCAGCTCCATTTGAATTTATAGAAGTTGATCATGGTCCTCCTTTAAAAAAATGTAATAGGCAAAGAGTAATATCTGTCACAAAAGTATCTGATTATGATTTAGTAACTGCTTGTTATGATATTCTATGTAGTGCACCAATACACTTTAAATATGCGTGGAATTGGTCTAAATTTTATAAATATCTGACTCATGAAGATAGTGGTGTTAGATGGTAAGATATGAAATTAAAAAATATGATATCTCCTTTTAATATTTTAAATAAAATTACTACTAGGAAAAGATTTTAATCCAATGATTTTTATTAAATGGAGTAATTGTTTAGGGACAAATTTGATAAAATTCCGTTTTAAATAAGTAAAATAAAAAAGGTGTCTTAAGTCAAAACAAAATATACAAGAATAATTTTTAATTATCTTTCAGGGTAGCAATAAATTGTATTTCTATTGTATTAGGAATGTCAGAATCTTCCTATTTATCTCATGTGAGTGATTTTGTTTCTAACAATCAAGAGTACTTTGTTAAAAGTAAAGAAGTTAATCGAAATAATATAACATGTGAAGATACCAAAGAAATAGATGGAATTCCTGATGTACCTTCTGTAGTTTCCATTGGAGGAATTTTACTTCCAATATTTGAAAAATCTGGAAATAAAAAGGAATTGAATCTAGTTCCTGTACCATCTACACGACAAAATTTACGAAATTTAGCTTTGGCAGTCTCTTCCAATAAATGTGTATGTTTACAAGGTGCAGTTGGTTCTGGAAAGACTGCATTAATAGAGTTTTTAGCTCAAGCTACTGGTCACGATGCACAGAAATTTGCAAAAGTGCAATTAGGTGATCAAACAGATTCTAAAATGTTATTAGGAATGTACAGATGTACTGATATTCCTGGAGAATTTTTATGGCAACCAGGAATATTGACTGAAGCTGTATCATCTGGCAAATGGCTGCTTTTAGAAGATATTGACTGCGCTGCGACAGATGTTATTAGCGTTATTGGACAACTTATAGAAACTAAAACATTATCAGTCCCTGGATACAGAGACTTGATACACGTGAAAAGTGGGTTTCAGTTGTTTGTTACTAGAAGATTGAGTTCTGGAGGAACACAAAAATCATTTCAAATGCCAATGCAGAAACAGTGGTCTTGTGTTAACATAGAATCTTTATCAAAGAAAGAACTCGTTACAATTGTCCAAACCTTATTTCCAATATTGCATACGGTAGCTGTAAAAATGGTTGATGTGTTTTTATTGTTTTCTGCTGGAAACCATGAAGATGACATTGTGAATAGTGTAAAGAATACTAGACAAATTTCTACCAGGGATTTGATTAAGTGGTGCTTTAGAGCTGTAGTTGATTTTGATGTATCCTCACCTGCTTCAGGCCTAAAGATCTTTCAAGATGCTTTAGATGTCTTTTGCTGCTCTGTGCCTAATTCCGGTATGTAAAGTATACTTTATAAAAATATCTATTATTGCTGAATGATTGTTTATAATACTGCAATTGAATGTTCTTATAAAAAAATTTCATAAATGATGAATCATGTTGTTGTCTTTTTATTTCAGTACAACGTTTAAATTTGGCAATAGCTGTGGCACACAAATTGGGTATTGTAAAAACAAAAGCGGAATTTTTTTCTCAAGTACATAAACCATCTGTAAATCTCCACAAAGAATGTCTTATTGTTGGTAGAGCAAAGTTAGAGATAAAAAAAGCTGATAGAGTTAAAATAGAGTCTAGGAGTTCCAATTTTTCTTATACAAGACCATCTGTATGTCTTTTAGAAAGAATAGCTAGTTGTATTGTACAGAAAGAGCCAGTTCTTCTAGTTGGAGAAACTGGCACAGGGAAAACAAGTTGTGTACAATACCTTGCGCAGATAACAGGCCACAAGTTGGTAGTAATAAATATGAACCAACAGAGTGAAAGTACAGATTTACTTGGTGGCTACAAACCGGTAGATCTTAAACTTCTGATTCTTCCAATTCGCGAAGAATTCGAGATTTTATTTCGATCTTATTTTGCAATTGAACCAAACTTAAAATATTTAAATCATATTGGGCGTTGCTTTGAAGAAAGAAAATGGAAGATATTGATTACTTTAATGATTCATAGCACTAGTGCTGCTTTGAAAAGACTGAAGATGTCTACAAAAAATCACAATGAGGTAGAAGTTTTAAAGAAATGGGAGAAACTAGCAGAGAAATTAGAAAAACTTCAGTCTCAGGTGCAGAGTCAATTTTCTTTAGCATTTTCATTTGTAGAGGGTAGTTTAGTCAAAGCACTGAAAAATGGAGACTGGGTTTTGTTAGATGAGATAAATTTAGCTACTGCAGAAACATTAGAATGTCTTTCTGGTTTATTAGAAGGATCTTGCGGATCTCTATCTTTGTTAGAGCGTGGAGACAAAGAACCAATTAAAAGGCACAAAGACTTTGCAATTTTTGCTTGTATGAATCCTGCAACAGATGTTGGGAAAAAAGATCTTCCCATGGGTCTGAGGAATAGATTTACAGAATTCTTTGTTGATGAACTCACAGAAAAATCAGATTTACAACTTCTAATGAGTTCATATCTGAATGACTTAAATCTGCCACCAGAAAAAATTGAAAATATTGTCAAATTTTACTTAAGTGTCAGGAAAGAAGCAGAAACCAGTCTTCTTGATGGAACTGGGCATAAGCCACATTACAGTTTGAGAACACTATGTCGTGCTCTAAGTGTATCTGCACAGAATCCTTGTAGAAATATAATTAGATCCTTATATGAAGCATTTTGTTTAAGTTTTCTAACACAGTTAGATAGTAAATCTTACCCAATAGTACAAAGAATGATTGTAAAGGCTATCTTGGGAGAAAAAGCTGCCAGTGCTGTTATTGGAACTCCAATTCCAAGGCCACGTGGTCATGCTGAGAGTTTTATATGTTTTGAGGGCTATTGGATCTCTAGAGGTGATCTTGAGCCACAGATTCCAGAAAATGTAAGTTTGTATTCTTTTAAAGAGATTTTTACTAGTAAGAAGTTTTTAGCTTTCATTGCTATAAAAATTAAGCAGTGTGTTAAATATCTATATATTAAAAAAAGACAGATCTTGTAGGCAAAGTAAGATAAAGGTAAAATAAATAAAACTTTTATATTTTCTTTGATTTTAGTATATCCTCACAGAAACAGTGAAGCAAAATTTGAAAGACTTAGTGCGAGTGGTATCTATTGGTAAAATGCCTGTATTACTGCAAGGGGATACTTCAGTAGGAAAGACCAGTTTGATAACATACTTAGCGAAGGCTTCTGGACATACCTGTGTACGAATTAATAATCACGAACACACAGACCTGCAGGAATACGTTGGTACCTATGTAGCTGATTCTTCAGGAAAGTTAGTTTTTAAAGAGGGTATTCTAGTAGACGCTATGCGAAGAGGTATGATGAATTTAATTTTTGATTATCCTTTTTATTATGATATTACATGTTTCAATTATTTATTTTTATACTTCTAAAATAATTTAATATTCTTCAGGATATTGGATAATTTTGGACGAGTTAAATTTAGCACCTAGTGATGTTTTAGAAGCTTTGAATAGAGTTCTTGATGATAATAGAGAGTTGTTTATTCCTGAAACTCAACAAATTGTAAAAGCACATGATAATTTCATGCTTTTTGCTACGCAAAATCCTCCAGGTTTATATGGTGGAAGAAAGGTAATATTTTATAAACAAATAATACATTTTAAATAAATGTATTGGTCTATAACAAATAATTTCTTGTTAGTATTTCATGTGATTTTTTATTCCTATTTGTTACTAGGTATTATCACGTGCATTTAGAAATCGATTTGTCGAGTTACATTTTGATGAAATTCCACCTAAAGAACTCCAAATAATTCTACACAAAAGGTGTAAGATGCCAGAAACATATTGCAAGCAAGTAATCAATGTAATGACAGAACTTCAAGTACGAAGAAAGGGTACTGCAACTTTTGCGGGAAAAAGAGGTATATTATTGTTTTAACGCATTATTTATTAGTAAATATTTTTGTCATTTAAGAAGGTAATTTTCCCATTTTTTGTAGGGTTCATAACCCTTAGAGATTTGTTTCGCTGGGCTGAAAGATATCACCTGGCACCCAATATTGTAGGCACTTTATATGATTGGAGTCAACATTTAGCAGATGAAGGATATTTGGTTCTCTCTTCAAAAGTTCGTCACTCAGAAGAATGTTTAGAAATCATAGAAGTGCTAAAGAAACATTTAAAAAGAGATGTTAGTCCAGATGCTCTATTTTCACTCTCTGAAAAAACTTCTACTGTGACTAAGCCAATCTTGGAATCTCTTTTGTCAAAGAAGATTCCAGGATTTGAACATGTAGTCTGGACATATCAAATGCGCAAAATGGCAGTACTTCTCTCGAAAGCCTGTGACTTTAAAGAGCCAGTTCTTTTAATTGGTGAAACAGGAGGTGGAAAAACTACAGTTTGTCAACTATTGTCTGTAATTAGACAACAAGAACTTAGTATTGTCAACTGCCATATGCATACAGAAGCTTCTGATTTTCTTGGAAGTCTCCGTCCAGTTAGAGAACATAGAGAAAATCAGAAATTGTTCGAATGGGTTGATGGTCCTTTAGTGAAATCCATGAAAGGTGGAGGCTTCTTTTTAGTAGATGAAATCTCTTTGGCAGACGATAGCGTACTTGAAAGACTGAACTCTCTTCTAGGTAATTTATTATCTTGAATTATTTTTAATCACATAACAGGTATTTAATTAAGATTGTTTTATTTAAATAATATTAGAATTAATTAATTTTTTCTAGAACCTGAACGTAAACTTTTAATTGCTGAAAAGCCATCAACTGAAGAAAATGCAACGGTTACTGCACATGAAAATTTCATCTTCGTTGGTACAATGAATCCTGGTGGTGATTATGGCAAAAAAGAACTTTCACCAGCTCTTAGGAATAGATTCACGGAAATTTGGTGCGAAGGTTGTGTTTCATTGGACGATCTCAAGTGTATTATGGTACACAATCTACGTAAAGAATACAAGGAAGCTGTTCCAGCAGCAATAATAGGATTCATAAAGTGGATACAAACTACAGAAATAGGAAAAAAGCTTGTCGTTAGTGTCAGAGATATCCTTACATGGGTGAATTTTATTAATTCTTGTGAAGATTTAGGAATAGGAGATGCTTTTTTCCATGGTGCAGCTTTAAGCTATATCGATGGGCTTGGATCTGGTTTAACTGCAGCAGAAAAGTAAGTGCTATGAATTATTATCAATTGGGTTTTATAAAATTTTAATCAAATTCTATTTTAATGAATCATATTATGTATTAGTTAATTATAATTATATTAATTAGCTTTTTACCGAAATATTTTAAATTATTTTAGTTCAAAGAAGTTAAAAAGTTTTAAGGATTCTGCATTGAAATTTATTAAACAGCAAATACAGAATACATTAAAATCTGAATTAATATTAAACAATGAAGAATTTGATGTCGACAATTATAAGGATAAATTTGGAATACATCCATTTTATATTAAGAAGGGAAATGTACAAATTCCAAGCAATGTAGGATTTGCTTTTGCAAGCCCAACAACAAAAATGAATACTCTGAAAGTTTTACGTGCTTTGCAATTAAAGAAACCAATTCTATTGGAAGGTAGTCCAGGAGTTGGCAAAACTAGTTTAGTTTCTGCACTTGCCAGAGCATCTGGACATCGTCTTCTTAGATTAAATTTAAGCGATCAAACGGTAACTATTCCTTCTTCTTTCTTTATTATATAATTTTTTAAGTAAGTCAACTAAATGAAATAAGATGATTTGCTATTTCTGTATACTGTAATATTAAGTTTGTAATTTTATAGCATTATCTGTTTTAATGTATTGCATTTATTTTATAAGACTTAAAATGTCGTTTATGAGTCTTTTGTAAAAAAAAGAAGAAAAGAATTCAATTGAGCCAAAATGTTAAAACTTATTATTATAAAATTTTTAAATATTACGTAGGATATTTCGGATTTATTCGGAGCGGATTTACCAGTGGAGGGAGGGAAGCCTGGTGAATTCTCATGGAGGGATGGTCCTTTCTTAAGAGCTCTAAAAAATGGGGATTGGATTCTTCTGGATGAATTGAATCTTGCATCCCAATCAGTTCTCGAAGGATTAAACGCCTGTCTCGATCATCGTGGTGAAGTTTATATCCCGGAATTAGGAATGTCTTTCATCGTAAAGCCAGGAACTCGATTATTTGGTTGTCAAAATCCTCTTCGTCAAGGTGGAGCTAGAAGGGGGCTTCCAAAGTCATTCTTGAACCGTTTCACACAAGTAAGTTCTTTTTATATTCAAAACAAAAGAGTAATAGAAGAACACATATATTGCTATAATAAGGGGATGATAATAAATAATATTAGGAAAAAGCCGTATAAAAATATAATGATCCATCTTTTCTTGATTATTAAAGGTAGAGTTATCAGACATGTCAGTTCATGATTTTGCTTCTTTTGCTGTTTTAGGTTTTTGTGGATGCTTTGGAACAGAGGGATCTAAAATTCATTTTAAATGTTCAATTTCCGAAGCTACCAGAAGATTTACTCGATAAGATGATTCAGTTTAACGAAGAATTGAGCTCTCAAGTTGGAACTACTTGGGGCCATTCGGGATCACCTTGGGAAATGAATCTTAGAGATGTCACTAGGTGGTGTGAAATAACCATGGCAGCTTTCAAAAAGAGTTCAAAAAAGATTTTCAATCCCGGAAATGGTGCTCAACTGATTTACGTTGATAGAATGAGGACAAATGAAGATAAAAAAAATGTAAGACATATATAACGTAATGTTTTTAATATTTATAATATCAATAATTTTAATTCACGAGAATATTATTTGCTGTGTAATTAAATTTCATGTCTTTACAATCTTACAATGTATTTCTTACAATATATGATGAAATAAACTTCTATCTAACTATTAAATGTTTTTTAATTACAGGTGATCGAGATATATAATAAGATTTTCTTACAAAATGATTGGCCTTTACCAGATCCAGAGTACGTAGTCCACTTGACGAGAAAGAAGGTCTTTTTGGGAGACGAAATATTGGATCGCAGCGATTCTGCAGTGTACGAGAATGATGATTTATTACTCCTGAGGGAGCAGAAAACTGTCCTCAAGGGACTTGCGCAGTGTGTTAACATGAATTGGATGGCCATTCTCGTAAGTAGTTTGCAAACTGGTTTAACTTCCTCGAACAAACTATCGAATAATTATTTGCGTCTTATCTGCTCTTTTAAATAATTCTTATACAATTTATATAATTACGTAATGCTACAAATATTAATTATATACCATTTTATTAACTAATATATGTATCAATTCTGTAACAGATTGGTGGATCTGGAACCGGAAAGACCAGTCTTGTACATCTTCTTGCAAACCTGGCCGGGCGGAAGCTGAAATCGATCGTCGTCAATTCTGCGATGGATACTACGGAAATTTTAGGCGGCTTCGAACAGGTAAGTTATTTTATAAAAGTAATATGTTTTTGATTGCACGTTTAATGCATCTCTCGTAAGACAGAAAATTCTGTCCATTAATCGCAACTATGCGAATACGGTATGAAAAAATATTTTGAAATTTAATTAGTAATGTTAGGAAGAGAAGCAACATTGCTTCCAGCGTAGATGTTAAATAGCAATACCGTATAACTAATAAACCAACATTCAATAAATTCAGCTCTGGTAGACAAGATAATTAAAAAAAATGGGCTCTCGACATTTACATTACTTCATGCGCGATCATGAAGTAGATTTATGACATAAAATTGGTAATATATCAAATTCAGGTTTCATTGCTTCTTATTGCCTAATAATTCTACAATCAATGTGACATAAACTTTATTCAAACTATATCATTTTTAAAAAAGATAAAACTATACGCTTACTACGTACAAGGAAGGGAAATGTATCAAGCGATAACATTGAAATTTTTAATTAAATCAAGTAAGCTTCTTCCTTACAAATTTGTTGCAGCAATCTTGCTTAAGTAGAAGTAGTAGCGTTTCTAAACTCGTTTATGCACAGAGCGATCTCAGCAACCGGACCAACTTCATTTCGAATAAAAATAAGGAAAAAATAAAAGAGGGAAAATTTGCATGGTTTAATGAGTTCCGTTCTCCGCTGACAGGATTTTTTTATGGGTGCATCGATTCGTCCGCAGTAGTGTAATGGAACTTTTCCCTTTGAGCCGAAACTGAAATTGCGACTTTTTCGTACAAATCGATTTTTCAACACGATTTTACGAATGACGGAGCATAATATGGTCGTGGAAGAACTTAATTTAATTTACAATCCATTTCACGTTACATCCTCTAATAAATATTCAAACGGCGTATTTGAATTTTTTGAATTAATTTGCTTGCGCGTTCAAATTTATTACAATCGCATTGAGAAAATTTGTTTACTCTGTTTCTGTATTTTTTTTATCTTCTTATCATCGCGTCGTTAACGTTCTACTCGATTTGCTTGTACCGTTTGCATAGTCGTTTCATCTCAGTTCTTCCATTCTTTCATTGGCTCTGTATCTGGCGTACTATTTCCTTTCTATTCGTCGTATAACCAATGTTATTCTTGAAGAACTGAAATTAAACGCTCCAGAGGGAGTCTTTACTGTTATAAGTTGATGGACGAGCGCCATTGTCAGACTCGAGAGGCCAGATAATCACACGCCACCAAAGGATCAATGAGATTTCTTTCGCAGAAGCTGGAATATAACGTCTGTACCCGACGACTTGAAGTGCTTCTAGCTTTTAGTCTCGCTTCGGGCAACTTTTCCTGTTGCTCGTTGCCACTCGGGCCTCTTCTATTTAAATCCAACGAAATATCAAAATAACGTATGCAGCTAGCGCTAAGCAGTATGACATATCAATGAAGTAATTATTTTTAAACAATTATTTTGTTCCACCAATACCATCACAGCCTTTGTGAAGTTTCTAAAGCGGAGGAAGATTAAAAAATATTACCATTGTCAAAGATAATCTATCTTTATTTACACGCTTAGTAACATCGATGTCGTAGTATTATAATATTATAAACGCAAATAATTGTTGTATAATCAACGATACAAATATCGCAATCAATGTTTTCGCACGATCTTCGCGTAATATCTATCGATCTGCCAGGCACCGTTTATCCATCAACTTAAATTAATTATCCTTAACGCTATCGTCGTTCTGGCTAACACTCACGTTCTAATAATTTTTAAAAGACATACTTTACGAGTAATGTTCGTAAGTTTGCTCCGCCTTCTCCTACGAAAGTCTTTCCAGAGAAATTGACATTGTTTCAGGGATTTTCCGGACTTTATTTCTTTCATCTTTCGAATATTGCTGGATTACCGTTCAGCTCGCGTATTTCCAGCGTTAAATTTCCTTCCACGCGTATCGATCGACGGCATCGACGAAAAAAAAAAAGAAAAGAAAAGGAAAATTTCTTTCTAAAGCAAGAACTACGTGACGAATTATAGAAACAAAGAAATAGAGCGGATAATAAAGAAATTTTCATCCTACAAACTTTTCCAACAAATACGACGGTTTTCAATTTCGCTTTTATTTCTTTTCTTCTTTTTCTACCACAAACGAAAGAGCGGCAGAAGATTTCGATCGAAATTGCAAACTGTTCTCACCGGAACCAGTTCATTTCTGTAACTGTTCTACCCGCGTGATATAATCTGCAAGCCACAATTTCTCAATTTATTGCTATAGTTAGGTGAGAAATTATCCCACCAGAGGTCTATAACTGTCACGAGTTGTGCAATTCTCTTCTCTCTTTCTCTTGTTAGCATCGACACTGTTGTGTATAGGAAGCTGGAAATGTGAAGACGCTATCGCAAGGCAGATGGAGTTTATATTCGAGGATTTCGACCGATAAACGTTCTAGTTATCGCTGTTTGCATTCGTAGATCGAATGCACGGATTCTCAGCGTTGCGTGGTAATTATATTATGAATTCTGTATTACGTTCGATCCATTATCGAAATATCCAACGCGATGACGCGCATTTGCTAGAATTGCGTTCCGAATGATACCGATTTTTCGCAGTTTACATTGTAAAAAGCAGCAGTTGGCCACGTAAATATTGCTAAATTATAAATAATTTATTATATGATATATAAAATTTATAAAATAATAATCGCAGTAACGAAATATTCGATGTCGTGTTCCACTGTTCTTTCATTATCTCAATTCTTAGATATTTCAATGATTTATTTATTCCTTGGCGGTTAGGTGGTTCTTGAGATACAATTTATGCAAATTCTTAAAATCATCTACGGAAATTATTCGTGCAGAATGAGAAGCTTTCGTGAGATTTATATCGTAGAAATTGATCGTTGATTTTTCTAATTTCTTCCAACGATCGTCGAGGATTAACCGACGTTGCTGATTTTCGTATGCTTTTGAAGTTCTGTATATTTTAACCGTTTGAGTGGCTGTTTAGATTTTGTGTCGAAAAGTGCCAGTACATTTGAACGTTACGGACGACTGATGGTGTTTTGTATTTCATTCTTATCTTCTCAGTAATTTTCATTGAACAAAACTTGGAATATTTATAAACTAATAGTACGCGTATGTAATAATATTTTATTATAATAATAATAATTTTCGACCTTGTTTTTTCAATGATCCCTACGACTCAAATGGTTAAAATCATTTACGGAAATTATTCGTACAGGATGAGAAGCTTTCGTGATTTTTGTATCATAGAAATTGATCGTTGATTTTTCTAATTTTTTGAAGATGAATCGATGTTGCTGATTTTCGTATGCTTTTAGAATTTTGTATATTTTGAGTACTTTGGAAAATTTCGATCAAAAAGTTAATTCTGTTCCAAGATTCATTCTTTTTTTCTCAAATTAAGATTTGCAGCGATTAGGTGAAGATTTGTTTAAATTTTCGTCGATCGGTCGTCATTAACAATTTCGATCAGCGTCAGTTACCAAAGATTTAGTTGCTCTTGATATGAATAATATGCAAATGAGGGAAAATACAGTGGACCTTGTCACAACTGTTTATTAGAAGTAGGAAATATACGTTTGGCAACGTTAAAAAATGGAAAAAACGTCGGCCATAATATTTCTATAAAATTCAATTACAGTACAATTGATATAAAATTAAATATAATACAAATTTACAAAATTCTCGGACACGTTATGCGAAGTCGTAAACCGAATATTAAGGTTGGCAACTAAGTGACTGCGGATGTTGTCATTAGGTGGTATTGACAAAATTGTTCTCATTTTCGATGGAAATTATTTAGAACTCGCGTACAAACATCTGACAAATTTTCCATTAAATTAAAACCACCGCTGTTTTTCTATTTCCTTCCCAGCAAACTTCAAACATTTTTATTTAACGGAGAAAAGTGAAAAGATATCTTTAAGCACAAACGAGAAACTCGTGCATTAAAACGTGTATTCTTCTTTTTTCTTTTTTTTTTTTTTGTTACAAGAAAAAGTAACTCGGAGAATGCACGTCCGGAAATCCCTAAATGTTTGCATAGAAAATATATAATATATACATACATATACATATATATATATGTATAGGTATATATTTATCTGCATATACACATATACAGAGTGACTAGTTTATTCTCATTACGTTTTCACTTTGACAACATTTCTCGAAACGTGTCGTTTCTTCCACGTATTTGACAAATCTGAAATTTTATTAATTTTCCTAAATTTCATTTGATAAATAGATTTTTCGATATACCGTGAACTGAAATTCTTATATCGAATTTCTGTCGTCATTATATTCTTGACAGTCACGTTAATGTGTTAATTTCTTACCATCGAAAGAAGTAAATGAGAAGCTGTCAATACAGAATCGTACAGTCTTTTATTCGAATACATAATTCCATTATTCACGAATTAAACATTTATTCATGGCTGAAGAATATTTCAAACGAAAACAGACAGTACAGTGTATATATATATATATATATATATAATATATATATATATATATATATATATATATATATATATATATATATATATATATATATATATATATATATATATATATATATATATATATATATATATATATATATATATTGTAGTATCGTGGACGAGAGACCTAAGAGATATCGGACGAATTATAAACAATGTCGCGAGAAAGCCGAAATGTGTTGTCGGTCAATCGAATAGTTTCGTCGAAAAGGCCTACGTGACTCTGGCCACGAACGGTTGCTAAACACGTGCGTGGTGGGGCTAAGACAAAGGACAAAGGGACGCTAAGGGAGAAAGACGAATTAACAGTCAGTGTTAGTTGAGAAGTCAGAGAGTGCAAACTGTGTTGTCGAGAGAGTGTGGTCCGCGTGAAAGAGGGCGTTTGGATCCGTGGTGACGAGTGTTGCAAATTAACCATCTAGTTGTCTTAATTGTAATACGTTATTGTGATTAGTTCACGTTAAACAACAATCGTTTCCTGTTTAATCAACATCTGTTTAGTCCATTTATTATAAATAAACTAATTGTAGTATAAGATCTTACAATATATATATATCAAATATCCGTTAAACGAAGAGTCTAATTACAACGAAAATCATGTTACAGTTTCACCATTATACATCGTATATCGAACAATTTCACGCTCGACACCGCTACGAACAGCGTTTAATTATCGGACACCCTGTATATGCGCACATGCGACTCCGCTTCTGTATATAATTATCTGTATAATACGTGTATAATAAGGATAATCGTAATAGCAAATAATATATATATATATATAATAATAGTAATAATCGAGGCAAAATCTCGATCGCTTTGAGTCCCCAGTTTAATGGAAAGCTCATTCGAAGGTGCAGACTATCTAACGTATCCCTAATTAATCGCTTAATTGATCGCTAATTGGTGCAGCTAATGCTCTGTTCGATTCACAATTTAAGGAACTATTTATGTTTTGTCGGTGACATTCTGCGCTTTTCTACTTTTCTTAAATAATCTCTAGCTTGTTTCTTCGCGCCGCTTTCGCTTCTGCTTCGTTTCATTTTACTTTACTTTACTTCGTTTTATTTTATTTTCATTGATTTTGTAGTTTCATTGAATATAGCGTTATCTAAACAGAGTCGTCTAGAAAGCGAAGTTTTACATGGAAACGTGCTTAACGTTGGCGAAACGATCATTTTCCTATCTCTTCGTCGCGAGTTTTGGCAATCTTCGAAGATTATTGTTTCAACGGTTCTTTACAGAACCTCTTTGGCAACGATTTTCCTTTGTCTTTCCACTTCCTTTGTCTTCGCGCCTGTATCTCGTTACGAGATCCACGTTGCTTGTTACGACCGGAAAGTGAACGTCCCGCGGATTTGTCTTCTTTTTCTTCTTTTCATTTTCGCGCGAGTCTTGGGAAGTTTGCGTGTTTCGAAAAGGATTCCTAGTCTACGAAGAGGAATTTGCAAGTGGACAACTCAGTTTCTCGGTTGGCGTCCATTTGCAATCTTCTGTCAGTCGATCGACATCATCGAGTTCTACTCTTCAGCGCTGCGAAGATATCGCGCGTACGTGCATATCTGTTTAGTAAATTGGACAAATCTCGTTTTGGAAATATCTTTGGTCGTTTTTGGAACGGCTTCGGAGAATTCATAGGAATTTATAGAAATTCTAAGTATCTTTTTTTAATATTAAACGTATACTATTCAGCATTTTTTCGATATTTCTTTCGAAGGACGAATTGAACGTTTATTGCAGCTTTTCATACATTACAAACATTAAATTGCTCTTTCGTCAAATTCATCATCGCTAACGAATATGATCATTTTACAAAATTATCTCGCAATACCATCGATTAAAAACGAATGACAAGTATCTTTTGAAAATTGGTAAAAATTTCTTGCATCGTCTTCTTACACACCAAGTATTTATTTCTCATCTAACTGACATTTAATATCTACTGTATACTGTTTCTTGATTTTTCAATGATTATATTACTCGTACGACTAAAGATACGCCAAGTATAGTCACGACAATAAGAATTGAATAATTCGATCGAAGAGATTTTACGACAATGCAACTAGCGACATACAAATTTTTCTTTTCTTCCGTTTAATTATCGATTTTTCATCGATACTTGAGTTATTATTAATTTTGTAACGCGAGGAATTTATAAATTAGAGATTTGTTTAAGTGTAAATTATAGATTAGTTTCGCTAATTTCGCGACAATCGATCGCGCAATTGTGCGTGCGTAGTGTAGCATGCGACGGATCGACTTCAACCAAAGACTTTTTTACGCAAATTTACAGAGCTTTTTCCAAACATTTTAACATTAAAAAATTAATTATTAATTAATTTTTAATATAATATTAACATTACGCACAATCTATCCTCGATTAGGTTTGAGAATAATTGAAACAAGAATTTACATAAAATTCTTAAAACATTCTTCTTCTCGTCGTTCTAAAATCTTCAAATTGTTAACGTGTTACACTTTATTCTCTCTTGGAAGAAGCATTTGTTAAACAATTTTTAACCTTCTCAATTTTTAACCTTGACAATTTTTTAATCTTCTCTCAAGCCTCAAAAATATTGTATTCCTATTTCCAATATAATTTCATCGAATTTTCCACGGAAATTGTTGAAAAACTCGTTAGTACAGTTTGAAACAACTACAAGGAAAATTTGTCTCTTCCCATTCAACGGGAGTTTTCTGCTTTATAAAATAAAATAACGTACCAAGCTATGGACGAACGTTTACGTAATTCGTAATGAAATTGTTTCGAAATTTTCTCGTTGAAACTTTCCAAATGATATGCATAATAAGCAAAGCAATGAACCAAGTTCGCGAAAGAAAGGGAATTCTGTAATTGAATCTTACTGGTTTAAGGAAACATGTTAAGAAAGTTTATTCACTAGGTAGATCGCTGCTAGTTGGGCTGACGTTCACTTCCGAGTCGCTTATTTTCGGGGCCGGCGGTAACAAAATGCTCGATCTTCTACTAACGTCTTCCTCGTAAACGCTTGACGTGCTTTTCGACCTTGAAACCAGAGTCCACGGATCCGGCGGTACGATCATAACGTCGTCCTGTACGGTTTAATTCCGCGATTAATTACGATTAGTTAATCTTAAACAGAAAGTGTAGAGAAGGACACCTTTATTAATGACGAACATCATAGAGTCACCGGTTTGCTTTGCATGCTGTTCTCGTGCTTGCAATTGTGCTTGAAATTGTGCATACAGGAGATACACTGCTCGCCAAAAACATAGCCCAGATGTGCTATCTTTAATTTCTCAATGACGCGTGCCAAGTTTCTCGCGTGTAACGTATAATAGGAAAACATTATGAGCTCAGGTGAGGTAATCAGATCCAGAAATGCATTCTGCATGATTATTTATTTGTCCTTTGATTAAATTTATGTATCGGACGCTATTCGTTCTACCATCGATGAACTTGATACTTGTCTTGGCGAAATAACCGATGCCCGCCCAAACCATCACGCTGCCTCCTCCCATTTGTCGTCGAATTGCCGACATTGTCTCTTTTCTTATGTCATGAAAATAATATAGCAACCCATCAGGACCATCCAAGTTGAATCTTTTTTCGTCTGAAAATAGTACCCTTCTCCGTTTCTTTTTCCAATGCACTGTTTCTGTTGCAAAGCGTAAACGTTCTATTTTGTGTTTCGTTGTTAACGAAGGTTCCTTTTTCAATTTTAGTCACTTAATATCTTTGCAGGATGGTAGAACTCGACGAACACTTGAAACACCGGCACTAACACTAGATTTTTCCATTATTTGCTTCGTCGTTAACTGCCGGTTGGAAGCTACGCTCAAAATTGCTCGCTTATCACGATCGGATAACGATGACGGCCGACCAGTATTTTTCTTTTTGCCATAATCTTCGACATTTTTTAAGAAATCCTGTATTACTTTACGACTTCTTCTTATTACTTTCGATATTTCTGCTACTGATAACTGTTGCTGTTTTAGTCCAAGAATTTGCTTTCTTTCAGACTCGTTTAATTTTTTTTCCGCGTCCCATACTTACAAATTTGTATAATATTACTCGTTGATAGATCATGAACTACCAAGCAATTCCTGAACATATTAACAGAGTGTGCTATCATTTCGTTCTTGAAATAAAACAATTTTTTTGTTACACACTAAACCTCACAATATTTTTAATTATTTTCAATTATCCGCATATTCTCAGCTCATAATGTTTTCATATTATACGTTACAAACGAAAAACAATGACTACGCGTCATTGAGAAATTAAAGATAGCACACCTGGGCTATTTTTCTCGCGAGGAGTCTACGTTCTCGCTACTATCGCTACTTTTTTCTAATATCTTTTCTTCTCAAACGATTGCTGTACTACGAAATTAGAACGAAATTATTTTTGAAAAATCATTTATTAGCTATACGAATGAACAATTCAAGTATTTTCAGTGAAACTAAAAGTTTATTAAAAAAAAAAAAAAAAAAGATACCGCAAATCGTTCGATCAAAGTATTTGTTTGTCGTTTTCTATAACTTTAAACCGTCTGTTATTTCATTGGCAACTAAGTGATTGCGGATTTTGTCATTAGGTGGTATTGACAAAATCCGCAATCATTTAGTTGCCAATGAAATAAACCGTGGCAACGTTGGATCGTACGCTGCGATGAAAAATCGTAATGAATGTTGTTTGAGACGCGTTGCAGCAGCTACTTTGGTCGCCAGACATTGCTCTCCTTATCAAATACCCATTTCCAATTAATGGATCAGATACTAAAGTAATTCGACGATTGGATGTCAGCCGGAAGACGCAGCATTTCTCCGATATGAAATCCATCACTTGGCTGATGGATGGTTCGAAGTTAGGGAAGAAACCAATGGCGAATACTTTGATCGAGAAGAACTTGCTGTATTTTCTTTTAAATAAGCTTCCAGTTTCGCTGGAAGCTTGCAATCGTCTGTTTGTGTACCTAATACTCGACAAACTTTTAATCATTTGACGCAAAGATAAGAAATCAAGGAAAGTTGAATTCTCCTTTGCGCAAACTCATATTTATTAGATTTGGCAACTAGGTGATTGCGGCATTTGTCAATACCACCTAATGAGAAAATCCGCGGTTCCTGAACATATTAACAGAGTGTGCTATCATTTCGTTCTTGAAATAAAACAATTTTTTTGTTACACACTAAACCTCACAATATTTTTCATTGTTTTCAATTAACCGCATATTCTCAGCTCATAATGTTTTCATATTATACGTTACAAACGAAAAACAATGACTACGCGTCATTGAGAAATTAAAGATAGCACACCTGGGCTATTTTTCTCGCGAGGAGTCTACGTTCTCGCTACTATCGCTACTTTTTTCTAATATCTTTTCTTCTCAAACGATTGCTGTACTACGAAATTAGAACGAAATTATTTTTGAAAAATCATTTATTAGCTATACGAATGAACAATTCAAGTATTTTCAGTGAAACTAAAAGTTTATTAAAAAAAAAAAAAAAAAAGATACCGCAAATCGTTCGATCAAAGTATTTGTTTGTCGTTTTCTATAACTTTAAACCGTCTGTTATTTCATTGGCAACTAAGTGATTGCGGATTTTGTCATTAGGTGGTATTGACAAAATCCGCAATCATTTAGTTGCCAATGAAATAAACCGTGGCAACGTTGGATCGTACGCTGCGATGAAAAATCGTAATGAATGTTGTTTGAGACGCGTTGCAGCAGCTACTTTGGTCGCCAGACATTGCTCTCCTTATCAAATACCCATTTCCAATTAATGGATCAGATACTAAAGTAATTCGACGATTGGATGTCAGCCGGAAGACGCAGCATTTCTCCGATATGAAATCCATCACTTGGCTGATGGATGGTTCGAAGTTAGGGAAGAAACCAATGGCGAATACTTTGATCGAGAAGAACTTGCTGTATTTTCTTTTAAATAAGCTTCCAGTTTCGCTGGAAGCTTGCAATCGTCTGTTTGTGTACCTAATACTCGACAAACTTTTAATCATTTGACGCAAAGATAAGAAATCAAGGAAAGTTGAATTCTCCTTTGCGCAAACTCATATTTATTAGATTTGGCAACTAGGTGATTGCGGCATTTGTCAATACCACCTAATGAGAAAATCCGCGGTTACTTAGTTGCCAATCCAATAGATCAACAGAAACGAAATATTATTAGGTCATCCCATAAGTTCGTGCCGATTTTTGTGTATACATTTCATGTGTCGATTGTGTTGAGATACGTATAATTTTCTGTGCTGGACTAGGTTAAATGCGTAGTAGAGATACTTGCATGTGAATATCAGTGTGTGGAAGTGTGTGCGTCCGAAGCGTCTCGAGAACAAAGGAATGTAGTGTGCGTCCGAAGCGTCTCGAGAACAAAGGAATGTAAACAGTTCAGTTCGTTAAGAGTCGGGTATAGAAGAAAGTGCTGAGACGCGTGCATGTGTGTATCGATTTGTCCATGAAATAAATATATCATTCTTTAATATTAATCCTCAGTGTAAATTTAGTGTTCCTATAACGTTATTTCGGCTTCAAAGATCCACAATTTTCAACAGATTTATAAACATACGGCGATAAGGAACCAATACACTTGAGCTTAGCTGATCGAGAACAGGCTAGAGCAGATTTTCGTGGCTATAAGATGGTAATATAGTGAACACAGTGACTTCTAACGGTAAAAACTCACGAGTGAAGTGCGTATCCATTTTCGACGTCTCGTGTTATATGAACTTCGGAAAGGAAGTTCTGTAACAATTGCCACGAAAAACATATGTGCTGTTTACGGAGAAAATGCGCTTTCATCTGGCACCTGTAGGAAGTGGGTTGCAACGTTTTAGAGCTGGGAATTTCTGTTTAGAAGACGAGGAACGCTCCGGGCGTCCTCCTCAAACAGACGAAGATAAAATTCGGGATCTTGTTGAAAAATCACCAAGTGATACCATTAATTCAGACAAATATTGCACTCGGTTAGAAAAATTAAGGGAAGCGCTAGCTGAAAAACGACCAGGTTTAGCGAATGGGAACAACGTTATCTTCCATCACGACAACGCTAGACCGCATGTCGCGAAAAGCGTTAGAAAAAAATTGTCTGAATTTAATTGGGAAATTTTACCACATCGCCCATATTCCCCGGACATTGCCCCATCTGATTACCACCTGTTCAGAGCATTACGACACTTCTTAGTAGGCAAAAAAATTGAAAATATCGACATTCTGAAAAATAGCTTAGAAAATTATTTTAAAGAAAAACAAGAGAACTTTTATCGGACGAAATAATGGCCCTACCAGAGAAATGGCAAGAAGTTGTACAACGAGAGGGCGATTACATTTTTTCATGAAACTGAAAAATATGTAAACAATCTTTACATATATATCCGTTCGAAAAATGGCACGAACTTATCAGATGGCCTACACAACGAGTAGCGTATTTTCGACATTTTACGCGTACTTTTGCATCAACAAATTTCCCACGAACAGATGAAAATCCACGATGGTCTACGCAAATAAGCAGAGAAAACGAGCGCGAAGCTTCTCTAACAAACGAAAAGCTACAAGCCATTTTTCCATAGCAGCCAGCCCTTTGATCGTTTCGTAAGCAACGATGTTGTATCAGCAGCTCGTAAAGCAACGTGACCTTCTTTCTGCGATGCTATTCTACGATCACTGTCATAGAAAACGTAGAAAGTGGCGAGAAAGCGTTTCTTTGAAATACCAGTAAATGTTTGCCAGTGGGTGGCAAAGGTGGTTTGAGCAGTGCCACGTCGGTTAGATCCGGACACGCATCGGGTTGCACCAGCGGTGGTTCCGGCGGCGATGGCACCGCCTCCATGGGTTCGTGGTATCGTGGTGGCTGCACGCTTTCCACGGGGATGCTTGGACCCAGAATCCAGCTGGCGATCACCTCGCAGCAGCCGCAGAAGAACTCCGACAGGCCTTGACGTAGGCCGCGGTGCAGGCTGAGGAAGAGCACCGGGTTCACGAATGCGTGGATGTACGCGATATGTAGAGTCACCTGGAATTTTCGTTGGCCCACGTTTGTAAAAACGATCGATTTCTATCAACTCGTATGATCTTAGAACGCAGCTGCTCTAACTTGCGCGTTTACAAATATCTTTAAACTAATTAACGCGTCGAGGATTCATTCGGTGGATCAGCAAACAAATTGAAACTTTTTCTAAAACTTTTGCTGAATTTATATTCCCGGGAAGCTTCGTGAAACTGTCTGCAAACTTAAGCTCGTACGAGAAGATCGCTTGAATATTCTAATTACGTAGACGTTAGACTAATGTGAGAGAATGTGAGGTGCCATTCATCGAGTAATGGGAAGGGGAGAAGCTAAATGTTTCTGTGGTGTGAGAAAGTCGAAGGAGTAGTGTTATTTGTCAGAAGACTAGAGAAATTTGTATTTTTGTCTGTTGGAGACAATTTGGACAGATGAATTTGGGCTGTTTGAGACAATTTGGACAGATCAATTTGGACTGTTTGAGACAATTTCATCGACCATATTCATCTGTCGCTTGATGCATTCAGTTCATTGTTCACCGGTGAATTGTCTCACGAATAAAAGAAACATTCAGCACTGTCTTCTCTTACGAATGCTCGTAAGCTGCTTTCGTCTTTGCTCAAGTGTCTCCTATTAGGAATATCTTGGATTCGAGGAAAGAACTGAAATTAGTCTGAGGGCAGTGTTTTGTGCAAACGACGATACTAAGACTGGAAACTGATAGAGGAACTGATCAAACGACTTGCTTTTGAATAAGAATACTCGGAAGAGGAAAGAAGACATTTAACGGGGTATTACTGAAACGATCATATTCACGTAAATGAGGCAGACGACGTTGTTCCGACTTATGGCAGTTTTGAACTCTTGCGGATTGTTGCTTCTGTGTTCTTCGAAATTTTTGTACGATGCGTGTGAAACAACGTGCTTCATATTTTTATCGTAGATCTACTTCACCTTGAAGATCAACGAATAATCTGCCAGTTTGAGTGCATTCGCGTTTGCTATTAATCAATGCCTTTGGCCTGGCGAACTTATTCTCGCATCTCGTTGTGGAAAGACGAGAAACGCGCGAGAAAAAGAGGAAGAAGAAGAAGATGGAGGTCTTTGTGACTGGAACAGAAGAGCGAGAAGGTGGAACTTGAATTCGTATTGTGCATCCAGGAAGCGAAATGACGGCGCGTATCCGTTGCTAGTGAATGGTTGTCACGTTAGAAAAGCTTGTGCGTCGATGTTTGAAAGAAACTGACGGTTGCTCGCGTGAAACACAGGAAAAGTGCAGTAGAACAGTGTCGTGGCATTGTTCGAGTCGGAGGATTTTTTAGTAATTTTTCTTCTAATTCTGAAATCAAATTTCGCCTGCTCTTGGCTACCTAAATGTGAACTGATCAACCAGAAACTAGATTCTCCGGTGAAATTCTACGTAGCTTTGTGAAATGATCTCTTGTCCAATTCTTTGAGAAATCTGGTTTTCCAACGTACGCGTTTCTATACGTTCGGTTAGTCTGCGTGTGGAAATAGAAATTAGAGTGGAAGGCGTTAATTGTTAGCGAGAAGAACCGTTAGGAAAAATTCGATATTTCGTATCGAAGGCAAAGAATCATCGCCAATTAAAGATGTTGAATCTTGGCGATTCGATATAACGTCAGGTGGCCTTAATTGCAGCTGTGTTGAATTAACGAGGCTCTTGTTCCTGCAGAAATTCGTCCAACTTGAATCCATTTAATTATGAATACACGACTTCGACGTTAAATCAGAATCCATAAATGACGAAATTGTCTTACTCTTTGCTTTCTCGCGAAGTTCCATTTAAGCAAACAGCTACAACGTGTACAGTAGTGCTGTAATTATTGGCTTGGCAACTAAGTGACTGCGGATTTTGTCATTAGCTGGTATTTACAAAGCCGCAGTCACTTAGTTGCCAACCCAATATTATTTGTCTACTGTGAACGACGCTTAAGAAGAATCGTAGGAAATTTGAATTTCGTCTGGGCATAAGAAAAAAGGACGCTGTAGATTGCAAGTAATGTCTTTGACTGTAATAAGTTGTTTAGTAGACGTTTATTCGTTGTTTAAAATGTCACGCCACTTCTGCCAGGCAATTCAATGAGCTCTCGTAACCTCGATATCTCCAGTTTTAGAACAGTGAAGAAGAGGGAGTCGCATAGTACTCGAGCGTCCTCGAAGCTAACATAAAACTAAAAGCAAAACTAAAATCTTAAGTAAACCACCTACACGGTGTCATAAATCCCTGACATAACACACCTGGATATAAGTAGACGACCCTAATACTAAAACCAACATAATGTTTCTTTAATCTCGGTGACTTTGAGAGATAAGAGAAACCAGTAAAGAGATAGGAATCTCGAAAAAAAGACGAAAAAGAGCGCGTTACATCGGGAGAATTAACGTTCTGATCGTTAGACCAGAGATAGAAGAATCGGCTATTTCTGGTTCAACGTGCAAAAGTCGTTTCAAATTGTCATTTACACGACTAGATTCGATCAATTGGATCGTTTCATCATTTCAACTAAAAGTATTAGTGCAATGTAAACGAGGTTTAACTGACTGAATGGAGAGAGCGTGAATAGTCACGCAACAACACCAATAGAATCAGTTTTACCTGTTTTCGTGCCTCCTTTTTGTCCTTTGAACTTGTTGGCGTGAATTTTCATAAAACTGTCATTTAGCTGGCGATTTCGCAATTACCTCGTAACCAGTTGTAATCCCGATGATAGGATGATTCACCAGAGTGACGAAGAACAGTGGTCCCCAAAAGATAACGTACGCGGTGGTGACCACCAGAAACATCTTCACCCTCTGCACGCCCTCCCTCTCCATCCTCTTTAAGTAATTCCTCATTTTCCGGTGCTCCTCCGCCGCTCCGCTCCTCTGAAGCAATACTTCCCTTTTAGCAGATCGACGAAACCAGATGCGCTGACGTTAGAAGAGCGTTTTGTGCTGGTCGACGCTGTTCCTCTTCCAGGGCGGCCGCAGAGGGGTCGACTCAGGCGTTAGACCGGCGAGAAATTTTAGCGAGTCGTCTCGTGTCAATGGAAATGTAGCTCGGTCATCAACATATCAACACGCACACATATATGTGTATATATATACATGTAAATTCTTACATTTAACACGTTGACTAACACGCGTGTTTTCAATGAAATCTCCTTCAGGACACGCGTGCCGCAGTACCAAGCGTTCTCTGCTACCTAATCCCATCGATATTTTAGATAACTTAAATTAACTTAGATAACTTATTTAGATAACTTAATTGGTCATTGAGGAAGAAAGAAGAACTGATGGTACCGAGGAAGGTACAATTCAATTTGACGAACGGGATGAATTTAGTTACTCAATAGTTTTATTATTTCCTGTGGAATCTTTTCAAATACCTACGACGATTCTTCGCAAGTAGTCAAATAATCGTCACCCGAATACGGGTGACGCGGTCCCATTAGAAACTTTGCTGTCACCCGAATACGGGTGACGCGGTCCCATTAAAAACTTTGCTGTCACCCGAATACGGGTGACGCGGTCCCATTAGAAACTTTGCTGTCACCCGAATACGGGTGACGCGGCAGTCAACGTGTTAAGTAAAATTGAGAAATTGATATAATATAAAGTTAGACGAGCGAAAAGAACGACAGTGAACGTACAATTTCGAATTAGATTTTGAAAGCGGTCATTTGACCGGACCTGGTGGTTCAGTGGCAGATTCGACCAGCGAACTCAACTTTTTCGATTTTCCGCTCCTTTCGGATTCCTCGCCTGGCGCTGCTTGCCGAACGACCGCTTACAATTAGTCGATTAAGCTAGTCGACTGTCAATTTGTATGTACACGAAGCGTTTTGGTAAAATTTCTTGTCGGTCGACCCGTCTGTAGCCATCCTCAGGTTAGCTGCCTTTCGGGCGTATCTCGCGATTGTCAAACGTATTGCAGAGGCTGTCTGTGATAATGAGGTGGCGCGGTTGAACAATGTAAATGAGGTTACCAGGAGAAATGAACCGGCCGTGCGTACAGCACTGGGTGTCAGGGTTTTAATCTAAGCAAAAATAATATTCTGCATGGTGTTGCTTATATTTTTATTTTTTTTTTTTTGTTTTTTTCTTTGTCACTTTGATTTGTAGAGAATACGATCGTAAGATCCTCTCTTTTCTTAAATGTTGTGCTACATGTCGGAGATGCCGGATCTATCGAAATGTGGCGAGTTGTTTGGAATTTTTAATCTGCGGCAGAATAAAATTGTTGATCGTTTCTCTGTCTGTTCTATATTTCCAGAATATGTGAGGTTATGTGTTGTTTCTTTCAAACGTTCATATAGCATTTTGAGAAACGGATAGCGTATGAATTCTTTGGTTTTTTTCCTAGAGTTTTCAATGCGGCAAGTTTTCTACAAGAGAGAAAATCGTACGCTAGATAATTCGCAAAGAAACATTCTGAACAGAAATTTCTTCGAAGTAATTGAATCCTCAACGAATGGTATCTTGAATACGCAAGTCCATACTTTTAAGGAACTGTTTTACGAAGAGACACGTAATAACAGCGTTTTTTTTTTTTTTTTTTTTAAGAGAAGCAGATTCATAGCGAGTGATTTATTGTTCGTTATTACCTTGGGCGTGCCACCGTTCGTAGATGCGGCAGAATTTTCAGGAACCGCGTTCGTTTGTTGGTTACCCGTTGTATTCACGAGAATCGTTAGTAGTGCTACCTTTACCTGATACAAAAATCGATTATTTTCAGTAGAAAATGAAGGAAAATTACGTTGGTGCGATTGATAGCAAAAATCCTTGTGTTTTCTATCTCAAATCCCTGAAATATATTTGTACACAGTGCGAAACAAACTTTGAATAATTTATGAAAATTGTTAATAATAAACGAGGATTAATCGTATTGATTATAAGAAAAAAGTTAAGAATTTCGAGAGACATGTTCATTCGTAAAAGGACGAAGAAAAAATTCCACTACGATCGTTAGTTACATAAAAAGAAGATTGTAAATTAATCGTTCAAATTGTATAAACAAATTATACTTAAACACTTTAGTATACTATATACGCTATATCATGCTATATAAAAGAATTTAATAACTACGAAAAAAATTCTAATTTACACGCTAAAACGACTTTCATATTTAATACTAAGAGGATGAAAAATGAAATTCCATGGTTAAAAAAAAATGACGACTCTTTCCTCGTCGCAAAATAAAAAAAATGCAAATTATGAAAACCGCAAGAGAAAAGGAAAATTATGCTTTGAATTGCTGGTTCCACTAAAACGATTCTACTTCGACAGCAAGTTAAAGCCAAAGATTTCAAATTATAGAAAATCTAATTACTTCACTAACTTAATTACTCCCTTTTTACGTACTTTGCTAATTACGAGGAAAATGCTAAATTAATCATTACCATTCAAATAATCGTTCTCTAAATTTAGCAGTAAATCTAATCGAATTTAAAAATTACGCTTAAAAACTACTACACTAAAGTAAAATGAAAAAAAAAAAATAATGATAATAATAAGAAAAAAATTCCGTTGACACTGCACCGAAGAGAATAAAATTTCTAGCTTTTCAAGCCACTGTCAGCTTTAAGTCATCGCTGTTCATTGTTGCATTAAATTCTCGTTGTTTTAACGAATGCTCATTTCTATTAATATTGACTTACAACTTTCTCGACTGGTAAGCGGATTGGCAAATTTACTGAGCAAAATGAAATCGGTGGCTACTAATTACAGCCTAATCAGTCGCCACCGTGTCTGACGTTTGCGTTAATAAAGCAAACTACCTGTTAAATCGCCAGGAAACCGTGTTTCAGTTATAGAGGGCGTACTATTCTTTGTGTTTGCTCTGAGTCAACGTTTCCTAGAACTTAGCATGTACACTGTCTCGCGAAAGTATTTTATGCGTTATACAGAACGTTTTGAAGTTTTATCAGTGTTATACAGCGCCTAATAGATTCCTACCGATGAAATTTATTAGACTTTGGTCGGTTTCTTTCTGCACGTTTATGAACCAGTGTAAAAATATTTCTTCCGGGCCATGGTGAATGCAGCGAAAGATGAAAAGAAAGTGCGCGAGCCAGAAATAAATGCAGAGAATTCTCGTCGTTCTGGAAGAATTGTCTGGTAACGCTGTATATCTGCGATTGTTCTCAAACTCCAACATATCGATAAGGGCTATTTAACACTTTACCGACCGCTAGTGGTTCAACAGCATACGCACGTCCGACCGGCAGCTCAGACGCATATTCTCCCTGGCGCCGGCTCTGTTTCGGTTTAGACTCTCCAATATCATTCTTTTTATTCATCGCGAACGGTACGTTTTTCAAATTGGTATAAAACTATGGGAGCTTAGAAAGCAAAGCAACTGACGCAATTGAGCAAGGTATGTAAATAACAAATTACTGCTCAAATAATAAGAAAGATTGTCGGCGATCAGAAGCCGATTAATAGACTATCGGTCGATAAAGTGTTAAGAAGGTAAAATGCCATCAAACAGAGTGTCGCTTCTGTACTTTTAATTTTATATTATAGCTAAACTTTGGATTAAGCGTGAAAGCACTTGCTCGCATCGTAAACGAGTTTCCACGTAAAGTGAGAAAATCCAATACGAGTTTTAGGTTTAATTTTAATATGGGATTAAGATATTATACTTTTAAGATATACTTTTTTTATAGCGTTTTACCTTTTTTTAAATGGTCCTCTCCAGTATATCGAAGTTGGAAAAGATCGCAGGTAAATCCGACTAAATTGTAAAATATTGCAATTTTTATATAATACATAGTTTATGATTTTATTCTGCCCTGTACGACTTTATACGGGCTTTCCACGTTATGGGAATTTATAGACGTAAATCGTGCGGAATCGAGCAACTTCGAAATTTTGATATTTGAGGATTACGAAGCTTGGGAACGGACGAATTTAGAAACTCATGAAAATTGAATGAAATACACTGCTCTGGGCTATTATCAAACATTTTCATCCGCAGTATCGTTTTTAGCCACGTATTTACCTACGATAAAGGATCGTTCGAATATTTTTCGCTTTGCGATCGATGCACCAAAGCTGCGCCGAAATCAACGCGTACGTGACGCTTCGTATCGTTCCTTTACGAGGCAGATACGCGAAATTAACGACGGGAAGTGAAAGAGAAGGAGAGAGAGAGAGAGAGGAACTGACGAACGGCGCTAGCTTGGTTTCTCTGTAGTCACACATAGATTGCGCTCAATACGTCAAATTCTCTACTTGTGTTATCGTAATACTTCTGTAACACACATGTTATATCGATGGATTATTTTCCAAGCAACAAAAGCGTACGCTATTCTTTTAAATCGTTCGCTTAAAGCGGCTACGAGAAAAAGGTATCTGTGCAAGCTCTTGTCTCTCGATGAAGCGTTTACTTGTCAGATTTGTTCTGGTCGTTTACCAAAAACAATGCAAAAGTGGTAAGTATTAACGCTTAGCCAATCGCGTGCGCCACAGCGAGCTATACGTTCGCGCCGCGTTCGGACAGTCAACTTATACGACGCCGTCCATCGCGTATTTTTTCAAGCATCCTGGACTGATATTAGGACTTTACCCATAATTAATATTAATTTAGAACTACAAAAAAAAAAAAAATAAAGAAGTTCACATATTGCTTATACAAAACATCAAACTAAAAGTATAAAAAGATATAGGTAAAATTAAAAATATTTAAAATGGCTAAAAGGACTTGAAGGTGAAAATAAAATTTCATAATGCATTTTAATATTTTTTTACAGTGTGGTATCGTTCGATTATAACTTTACTTAATCATAACTTGTTGCGTAACTTTTTAATTAATTTTAACACCACTAAAGTGGTGTATTTTATTATATACTGTACTTTATAAAAGAAGAGAAAGTGGCGCAATTAATTGGCAACAATTCCAGGTAAACAATAACTGATAATAACAACAAAAAAAGAAGGAAACTGTTTATTCGATTGGCTAAGTGTTAACGCAAATAGTCAAAATGAAGTAGAGACGTTGATGTTACGAAAAAATCGGAATTCCATTTATCCCTTCGTAGTAAAGTGCTGTGGAGAAGATTGTGCCGTTTGGATTTCTCTCTTGTATTCGAAAAATGATATTCACTATGCATCACCTAGACATCATGCGGTAATTGTTCGCATCGCCAGCAAGTTATCGATGTATCGCCGATTCGTTTACTGATTCCTACATTTTAACACTTCGACTGCCACATGGGTCATATATGACTCATCACGATTTCTCCTTCGACGCCACGGTGGTCATCGGTGACCGGAGCGCTTCGACTTCTTACAATTGTAAAAATTGATTGAAAATTGACAGTTAGGGCATTTTGAATATAACCGATAAATAGAAGATACTTTGAAATGAAAAACGTCCCATTGAACGATTAAACATTTTTATTAGAACATCGATAAAAAAAATGAGAAGAAATGTTGCATCTAACGGTGCACTGTGTTAAAACACTTTAAACATAAACGTGGCTCATCGATACAATCTGGACGATAGGTGGTCACCTTTTTCCTCCGATTCTTAGCAATTTTTCATCCTAATTGTTTAACATTTTTTTATACCACTCTCTGCAAAATTTTCGTGCCAGCTACGCTTGCCCTTCTTTCTTCTGCATTTCGTGTCGCAATCTTTGTCGAATAAGTATATTTGACTGCTCTGGTGAATGGCACTGTGTAAGGTGCATTGCCAGTGCCATTCTAAAATCTGATACCTGGATTTTTGTTTTTGTTGCTTGTTTAGAGAGTATCATCGCGTTTGAAATTGGTATATTTAACAATAACTCTAAAGCTAATTTTATATACCACTTGAGGGTTCTTCTACGTAGTGTAGAATATGCTATCATTTGATCTGATAAGTCTACAGCACATTTTCCTCTCTTGCAATCTACCACTACCATTGGTTTATCGCAAACATAATTTTCTTTACGGACCTCTACCATTTCAGCCGAATGTTTCGTTGAAATCATAAAAATAATCGTAATACTGTTTACTAATATCTTCTACACGTTTCAACAATATATTCTGCACATTTTGCTTACGACGAAATAACGAATGCGAATGGTTTGTTGAAATAAACGAAGCCTTGTTATAATATGTGGCTATCAACTGTTACTAAGGCGCTTGTCACCAATAAACTAAACGGTCCATTGGGGAAGAATGTTTCCGTGGCGCCCTCTGCAAAACATGTGATTTCGGCGTGGCAGTCAAAATGTTTTAATAACCTTTACGCACCATCCTGCATAGTATGAACATGTACTTCCGAGTCATCCTGTATAACCATAATCAAAACCCATAAAGCAAAACTTCGATATAAAGATGTAAAGCAGCGTAATCTCTCTCTTTATACTTGAAACGAATCTACGAAACACCATAATTCCTCGAGGAACACTTTGACCCGATTCTCCGGTATAATCGCAATAATTCGCGAAAATGGCGAACTCGTGATCTCGTGCAGCGATTTAGCGAGCAAAAGGGATGAAGCATGCGTGGAAGTAGCTCATTTATTTGGAAGAATAAACGCGAAAAGTGATACGTACCGCTTCAACGTTCGCCTTGGCCAGGTCTTTGTGCAGTTTTCGAAGATGGATGAGGGTGAGACCGACGCAAATCAAATTGATGGCGATCCAGAGAACGTTTAGGATGTAATGGCGGAATGGACCATGTACCAGAGGGCAGCTCGGTGCATTGTGGCCCGATTCCGTGTTCGCGGCTAGCGCTCCGCTTAAAAATGTCGGGCCCAGGTTGATGGTGATGCTCGCGAACCATATCATGAACGTGCCGAATAACACGCACTGAAACAGAGCGCGTCTTTACGAGGCTTTGTGCTACTCGATACGTCTGTTAGAAGCTGTGAATAGTGGCGTGCGATTTTTCACACGCTTCTACTTGTCGCCGGTTTTCTTCGAACTTTGTAGCCAGACTCGTGTTGGATGACAAAGAAAGAAATCAATGGGAAGAGAATCGTTAGGATATGAAAGGAAAATGAACGTAAGATCGACTTGGTTTATTTCAAATTTTCTTCTCTGTATGCATTAGGTTTCGAGTGGAATTCCAGAACAATTCTGCGCGCAGAACAATCTAACACACTTTGTCTTATTAAATTTCACGTTTTATGTTAGAAGCTAATATTGCTATATTAAAAACGCGTTATTAAATTCTGTAGCACGTTCCAGATAGTTCATTAAAGTAGCCAAGAGAACGTTCAAGAGCGTTGCGTAACGACAATAATTATGAGTTAAATGAATTTGATTGAAAAGTTATTTTATTTAAAAATTAGCTGAAAAGTAGAGGATAGAAATATAAATTCCAGTGGTTTAAAGACTAGATTTTATCCATAAACGCGACTAGAAAGTTGAAAATAATCTGCGTTCGTCGTATATGACTTCTACGAGGCGTGGTTCGATTAAATAAAACCGTGCTCGCTGCGTCTATTGTTAAAATGACACGCAGCGCTTTTTTCATGACATTTTTTGTTTCCATGAATGATGGGTCAACTAAGATAGCATCTATTGGGTCGCTCGGAAAATTCGTTCCGATTTTTTGGAGAATTTAATAAAACAACAGATATTGCTTTGTACCTCTCCATTAGGACAGTTGTTTTCAAACGTATGGCACTAAAAAACGTTACTAGAAGCATCTTGAAATACGCTCGTCGATTTTTAATAAAATATTACACTCGTCAAACGCTGCTCTGAAAGTTCATTCCGATTTTTGGGGAATTTAATAAAATAATAAATTTTGCTTTCTACCTCTCCATTAGGACAGTTGTTTTCAAACGTATGGCACTAAAAAACGTTACTAAAAGCATCGTGAAATATTCTTGTCGATTTTTAATAAAATATTATTCTTGTCAAACGCTGCTCGGAAAGTTCATTCCGATTTTTAACTCTTTAGCCGACATAAAAAATCATATTGAAAAGTTCTTGGCCGAAGAACCTGAGAGATTACGGAAGGATGGAATATTCAAGTTGCGTGAAAAATGGAGCAAAAATGGCGCCTATATAATTCGGTAAATGTAGATCGGAACGAACTTTCCGGGCGACCCAGTATATTGTAAAGCGATGATATCCCGAGGCTATCGAACGAGATTGTGCATGATCGAACGATTCTTATTTAACGAATGGAAGCGCAAATAGGAAGAGGCTCGTACAGACAGAAAGACGAAGGTTCCCGAGAATATAATAGAACCGTGACACGTATTGTTAGAACGAATTAACCAGCGGACAAGTGTGGTGTAAACTGTCCGCAACGGAATGCTGCCGTGTCGGGATTAATCGCCACGTGTCTCGTTTATTCGAGGCGACCTTTTGCCGACGTGCGACGCCTCGATTAACCCGATTCGATCCGACGATCCCTCCTATTAATCAAACTTTTAATTATTCCAATATCCCGTAGCCATTGATTCCGATCGCTCGTTATCGTTATCGTTTCGACCTCGTTTCTTAATTACGAACTTTGCATAATCGACTTTAATGCCAGGAGCAGGTCCTATGTATATAGAAAAAGTGTTAAGCTTATTCTAAATTGTTAATTTTTAAATTTCTGCCGACGCTTCAGGTGCGATCGCCGTTGTTCTTTGCAAAGTATACAGGGTGGCTCGATCAAGTGGGACCACCTAAATATTTGCCTTATCGACGATTGTACGGAAAAGCTTCTCGGGACGACTACTTCGAAGGGCACGTGTCACGACGGAAAAGAATTTTTTCTCGTAGCCATCTTTTCACGAGATTTCAAAATCATCGGTATATTAATTTAGACGTAAGCCTGTATTTTAATATCCATCGATCTTGTCTTCTTTATACAAAAGTATGAAAATGTTTAGTTTCTAAGATGTTTCGATCTTTATTTTGCAAAAACTTGGCGTATGAAAGACAAGAAATGGACTAAAAAAAAAATGGAATAAAAAATCACATCGATTGGTCTAAAAAATATATAAAGTTCTATTCAAGAAAAATACCGAGATACTTGTAGAGAACAGGAAATGGAGAAAAGATTCTTTCCACTGCTAGACACACACGTGTCGTTTGAAACGACGTAACTTTGTCTTGAGAAACTTTTTCATGCAACGATACGTAAGTCAGATATTCAGTTGAGACACCCTGTATATTTTTTATAATACATATCCTGCTTTCTAATAGCGTGAAATTAAATTAATTATTTTATAGGAAGAACACTTCTATTTTTTTCCGTTTTGGAGCTAAGCTTTCCCCAATTACGTGGGACACCCTGTATAAAAGCTAGAAAAAGCAAGCGTGAAAGTGTGAAAATCGTCCGTATATCTGCGACTAACGCTGTACACAAGTGCGGTAGCGATAAAACAAAACGCAACTAAAAGAGCAATATTTTTCGATATGCACAATCAAATTGGCAATTGTTTCCGAGAGAAGAAATACAGCGACCGAGATTGACTGGATTTTTTCATTTCACGCTCTAGCAAATAAATTCGCAGAGTTTTTAATCGTTAAACGCGACAGAATCCACTCAGAAATCTATAAATAATTTTTCCAGTGCCACTTTGTCACAGTGCTTTCAAGTTCGATGGTGAGAACCGTGTTCTACACTCTTCCCTACTTGCTATATGTGCTCGTTAAAATCGATCAGAAACTTGAAGCCGCCTCAAAGGCAGCCGGTCGTCACTTAAGGCTGTGATCGAGTTAAACTAGACACGACTGTGAAAATGCACATGGGAAAACGCGTAATTCTTCCAAAGATCCGCGGAATTCGATTTTGTGGGCCGTAGGAAAAAAAGCTCTTTGAACCTCGCGCTTCGCTTTATCGAATGGTTTCAGGTGAAAACGCGTCGAGACACGTGTAAGGATTCTGTTGTATCTCAAGGGTATTCCGCAACTTGTTCAAGTGTTTACGAATCCAGGAGTTTCGCAATCTGGAGATTCGCCAACTTCACTATACTTGATCGTTTAGATGTTTCGAATTTTTATTTATTCTATTGGAATAATTCTAGTTAGAGCTTGTTCGGCAGTTTAGGTGCGCATTTAGGAATTTAATGACTCGACAATTTGGATATTAAGAGATCTGCGAGTGTTACGATCGTTCACGAAGAAACGCGTCAGCGAGAGGCATAAATTCTCGCTACGATTCTGATAGTCCACGCCGCGAACCAGTCGCTCCCCTATTTTTATTAGGATAACAGAGGTAGTTCAAATAATTGTGACACTGAATTAACAGGGTTAATATAAGCTACTATTTTTAACAATATTTAAAATTATAATTAACACGTTACAAATGATTTAACGATGATACAACTAATTTATTATTATAATTCCACTCGACTTTATAATATTTCTCGACGTATTCGTTTGACTAAGCGATCTTCATTTTATTTCTTTGAACCTCTCGGTGCATTCGGTTTGCATTCTCGTATAATACTGACTGCCCTTCGACTTTTTCTTCTGTCTTCTCTTGGAGACGACCCCCACCACGCTCGGGTCTCGCAACCGTTCGAGCCTATGATCACGTATGCCACATTTTTTGCGTAGGTAAAATAACGGACCGAAGGCGAATCGATGTTTTTTAGAACTCGCTGCTTGACGACAACTATGCACTTATCGCTACATTGTTATATCTCGCCGGTCATGTAAGACGATCTGTCTGCAACGGTGTAGTACCAAGGGAGACGGTTAGGGACACGGACTATAGTAAACCTCGGGGCGTAACAGCGAGTTTGAAAATTTGAAATTTGGAAATTTCAAGCCTTTTGTACTTTTTATTTATTCTTTAATAATAATTTGTATTCTTAATTTCTAATCTTTAGAAATTTTTAGCATTCTTAGTCTTTTGTAACGTTTCTAGTGATGCACGAATTATTATCCATCGAATAAAATCAGCAATTTATGCGAATTTGTGCAAATGCGAAGGAAGGGAGAGGTTGAAAGTTTCGTTCGACTACCCAGATATTAATCTAAATTTCATGCTTCGTTCCAATTATTAGCGGAGATTTGTAAACTCGTTTAAATACTCGTATTAGTAGCGTCTCCTGTGAAGATAACGTAGACCAGAGATTACACGGTTTCTAAGTTTGCACAACTCCTAAACTAGTTTAAAGGATGATGACTCAACGTATGTCGCGTTTCGCTTCGGCCATTAGGAAATCAGGCACGTTGTCAGCGATATTATTAACATATTTTATCAATATCAATTTACCTTCTTTTATTAAATATTCATTTGCAAGGAAAGATGGCCAAATTTCAAAAATTATACAACTTTGAGAATGATAGAACTATAAAAATCGTAGACGATATACAGGCGTTGATCTCTGAAAATCCGGTCATTTTCCGATTCTCCTTTAAAATTCCTCGACTCTAAGAGACAGAAAAAAAGTTTTCAGACAAAAGTTACTTTTGATGAAAAAATTTATCGACGCTATAGCGAGTTGTCAAGTGTCCATCCGAGTGTTCACTCTTGGGGTGAATTTGAACAATCCCAAAAAATATTGCGTAATAAGACTTGTAATTCTTGGAATTTCCGAGTTGGAGATGTTCCCTTGTTCGTTTACAATCGATTGTTGTATCGTTAAATGATAATTTCTCTTTCGTAGTCGTTTAGTTTTTTCTTTTTTGGAATTAATTTTTTAATGTTTAATAACGAACGTATATATTTCTTATATCTATGTAATTCGACTGCTTCGTAATGAAACGTTGAATTCACAAGTAACCGATACGTTCAAGTAGAATAATTCACAGATTCGGCTACGCTACGATTGTTTGAATGATACGATCGATGGAGCGTGGGTGCGCGGCGCGTCATCCGATTACCACGGATGATCGTTCTATTGTAAATCTTCCCTCGCTAGAATAAACTTGTCCAGCAGAAGTTTCTTCATTACGAGAGCGCGTGCCTTTGCATCGGAATTTCCGCCGGCAATTTCCTACCATCGAACCTCTTTCATCGTTCAACAAATTACTTCGTAATTACAAGACACCTGTTTCCCTTGCTATCGTTTTTTCCGATTTTTCTTTATCATCCTCTGTTACTGTACGCTCTTTCCTTAATACTTTACCGACCGCTAGCGGTTCAACAGCATACTCATGTAAGTTTTTCAAATTGGCATAAAACTGTGGGAGCTTGCAAAGCAACGCAACTGAGCAAGGTAGCTTAGTACAAAATAACAAATTACTGCTCGAATAATGGAAAAGATTGTCGGCGACAAAAAACTGATTAATAGGGTATCGGTCGGTAAGCGTCGGCGACAGAAAGCCGATTAATAAGCTATCCGTCGGTAAGCGTCGGAGACAAAAAACCGATTAATCGGCTATCGATCGGTAAAATGTTAAGCAACTAACGAGGGAAAGTTTGAAAGTGAAATTAATGTTTTCCAGAATTTCGTTACGTCCTTGGCGCTAAAGTGCTAATTATGATTCAGCAGGATTTAAGAGCTTCGAATTCCTCGAATCTTCTGCAACTGACAATTTGTATCGTCCAAATCGTACAACTTTACGTACGATTACGTTCGAATGTAGTTTTGCGAATGCAGAATGTGGAAGATGGAAGATCGTAGACGAGTAAACTGTGACGTTATTATTCAAAGCAAATACTATCCTATGCATAATAATTTAGACGATGTATAGTTAAACGTGTGGGTAAAAGGGTCGAAGAACACTTGCCTGAGGCGAATCCATGAGCAAAGGAGCCGCTAGGTCTGCCTCCTCGTCGGTTTCCGGGAAAATCGGACTGTCGTTCAGCACTGTCGTCAACATGTTCACCGTCGAGACTGTCACCAGCAGCAGAAACGCTGTCTCCACCAGGGAACACTTGGTCATCGGCTGACAGTTGAGTATGCTCGATCCGAGGGGCAATAAAATCGCAGCTCGAGCGCAATCCACCATCGCTTGGTGGAACAGCAACCCCTGTGACCATCTGAAACGCATGAAACATTTTCGTCTCCTCTGTTTTTCCCACATCGACTAGACGTACGTTTATTAACATCGATATTCAGCCTGTCGCTGTCCCTACATTTGCACAAGTGGCAGCAAACATCAGCGTCGAAATATTAATTTGTCGAGATGATAAACTCTCGCAGGAAGCAATTGCTGGTGTATTTTCACCACGACGAATGCTGCACATTCTCGTAGAATAAACAGCGCAAATTGTTACGACCGTTCGCGGAGAGACGCGGTCGCTAGGAAAACGCGTCAGTGAGAGGCGTAAATTCTCGATACGATTCTGTTAATCGACGCTGCGAAATAGTCGTTCCCCTGTTTCGATTAAGATAACAGAGGTGGTTCAATGAATGTAACACTGTATTAACAGGTTAACATAAAATAATATATTTGATAATAAAATGATGAACACGCCACAAATTGTTTTACAATGAATATGGTAAATATATTACAGAAAGTTGACTCGACTTTACGATATCTCTAAATGAATTCGTTAGACTATTTGATTTTGCTCGTCAGACCTCTCGATGTGTAACGTTTGACTCGTCAGAAGGAACTGATTGCCTTTCGATCATTTCTTTGTCTTGTTTGGAAGATGACCCCCACTATGCTCGGGCCGCGCCACCGCTCGCGCCTATGATCACGTATACCCCTTCTTGTGTAGAAAACGTAACGGACAAAAATCGACGTTTCTGGAGCTCGCTGCTTGGCAACAACTATGCGCTCGTCGATACATTGTATATAATCCGACGGGCAGATAAGACGATCTGCCTGCGACACTGTAGGACCGCGAGCGACGGTTAGAAAATACAGTCTGTGGTAAGCCTTGTGGCGTAACACAAATCATCTTTTCTTACGCGAAGCAACAAATTACACAGATAACGTCATCCAAATATTAATGTTAGCAACCACGGCATATCACGCGCGCTTTTTTTCTTCTTTGCAAACATTGTTTAATTACAAAAGAGAGGAAGTTTTTCTCCACTCAACATGTGACAACTTCACGACGATGCTGAACCTCGCACGTTGCTCGACCGCGCGTTTTTCCCTCGTAAAACGTCTGTTTTGTTGCGCGAGTAAACGTATTTTCATCGAGTTTTTCGAAAGTTTGCTGTTGGTGTTATCGGAATTACCTGCGCAACTGGCGTTTGGCCAGGATCAGCGCCATCAGCAGGAAGTTGGCGCCCATGCCGAGAGCGCCGAGGCTGAAGATGAGAGTGGCCTCGGTTGCACCACCTGGATGACACTGGAACACCTTGGTCGCGTTCGACGACCCGTTTCCCGACGCGCCGATGCCGAATCTTAGATTGGCCCCGATCATCGCCATCAGTTAACCTGTTTCACGAATTTTCAGTAAGCAGAACTAGCAATCGTTGAGATTTGATTTTTTTTCTAGAAGCTGGAGAAAACTGTAAATTTGACAAAATTATTGCAAGTTGTTAGGAGAACGTCGCGACAGATCGCCATCCTCTTGCGATGTTCAACATTTTCCATATAAAAATTCACGCGGCCAATGAAAATTCCACGTACTACTAATATCTACGTGATCAGGGATTAGTTTATTTGCGCATGATTAATACTATTGAAAGTAATTAAATTTGCTTCGCATGGATGATAGCGATGCGAACGTAAGCTGACGTGTGATGTGGTTGCGGCTGTGCAATCATCGAGAAGCGTAAACAGAATAATTAGAGAGCAGGTACAGCGTGCGCATTTGGCCAATTTCTGCGTTGTAATAATTTGCAGTATTTGAATTCCATCGCAGCGACACGTTCTCCTTCTCCTATAAATATTTATATCATACAATAGCAATGGATTTACTCGTATAAATCATTATGAATTATTTATTACGACGTACACTTGCTCAGCCAATGTCACTTTTAATACCGTGTCTAACCTGACGTGTAGCTTTCTTCACACGTGTTTCCACGACACCGTAAAAGTTTCGTTAACACGTTGGTCACCACGTCACCCATATCTATGTGACGGGTCTGCTTCCATGGGGCGCCCGTAACATGGCTGACACTATTCTTGTTCGAATTAATTAATTATAGCATATTATACAGGGTGGTTGGTAACTGGCGATACAAGCGGAAAGGGGGTAGTTCTACGCGAAAAAAGAAGTCGAAAATATAAAATAAACATTTTTCGTTTGAGGCTTTGTTTTCGAGAAAATCGACTTTGAATTTTCGCTCGGTACGCGTGTGGTACGTTATAACGGATGTCACTGTAGATCGTTGTCTCGATGGACTTCTTTTTTTGCGTAGAATCACCCCCTTTCCACTTGTACCACCAGTTACCAAACACCCTGTATATAGGATTTACAACTGTTGAAAATTGTGGATCTTTGAAGCCGAAATAATGTTATAGGAACACTAAATTTATACTGAGTATTAATATTAAAATACTGATATATTTATGTCATGGACGATTTCTTATATATTCATCAATACACAAAATAATGTTATAGGAACACTAAATTTATACTGAATATTAATATTAAAATAATGATATATTTATTTCATGGACGATTTCTTATATATTCATCGATACACACTTGCATGCGTCTCAGCACTTTCTCCTATACCCGATTGTTAACCGACTCTTAACCGACTCTTAACTGACTGAACAGTTTACATTCCTTTGTTTTCGAGACGCTTCGGACGCACATACTTCCACACACTGATATTCACATACAAGTATCTCTACTACGCATTTAACCTAGTCCAGCACAGAAAATTATACATATCTCAATAACAACATAAAAATATTAAAAACACATTATATCATACTTTTTATTAATTTATATTCTGGATAAAATATTACATTATGCTGTCGCATGGTATTCGTTAAAACATTGCAAACACATTTGACGTGATTTTCGACACTTCCAACAATATGTTTTAATCTTTTTTACGTTTTTTCTCGCTTCTTGGCGCGCGACAATTTGCCTCTTCTTCTCGTAACACAGGGTGCACATCCTTTTTATAGGCTTGTCCTGCTGATTCTTGCGAATCTCCTGTGGCGGCATTCGACA